ATATGTGTCAGATAAATGATAGGTAATAGGCGTATGTTTCTGTATAGGTATCTTATTATTGCATAAAACGTACCTTCATAATCGTAGCAGCCCGAATAATTCCTGCTAGCATGACAAATGTAGCGCCGGAGAAGAGAACCATAAGGGGGATCTTGCGTTTCAGGTTGAGGTTGACAGTCCAGAGAAGGGGGAGTGGGATTGAGAGAAGGTAGACGTCCGTGACAATGTTGAGTACGACGACGACGAAAACATAAACATGGGATTTGGTTGGCTGACAGAGGTCTGTGAAAATAGTCAGATAAGAAGACTATTGTATCTGGTGGCGTTGCAACTCACTGCCGGGGTCAGGCTGAATCTGCCAAAACGCATGGAAGGGCTGACATGACAGTAGGAGGGACAACGCTGTTGCAAGGTATGTCACGCCTAGAATAATATATCCCAGCCGAACTCGGGTGGGGAGGTGTTGGAGGCCAGTCCTGTAATATCGTTAGCGCATTGGTTCATTATGTCTAAGGTGGTGCCTGAAGCGCACGTCAATCGAGAGTAAAAGACAGCTAAGCTGAATTTAACCAGCCAGAGAATAGCCACATATAATGACCATCCAATGATCTGGATCTTAGATCCAGCAACACGATTAGACCACTCAGTCGAATTGGGGTCAAGCGCTGCTCGCTGCTCAGGCGTCATGTAGCTGTTAGTCAGGCCCTGAAATTTGGCACCGACGAGATACGCTGCTACTGTTTCGAGTACAAAAAGGATCTGTCAAAGAGCAATACGTTAATTGTAGCCCTTTCAATTGATCTCACAGGACAGGCAGAATAACTTACCCCCGCCAATGGCATGAGATAATCATCAAGTTGGAAATTGGCTGGCCCAACAAGCTTCCATCGTACCATAATTCGTATGATAATTATTAGAAGAGCCAAGGACAACAAGGTCCATGCCTCGACATTACCGGCCATACTTAGAAGTCGGTAGTTTGCAAAGCAGAGGACAAAACAACGGAAGACGAGGACGGGAGTTGGAGGGAATTAAAAAGAAGGCTGCCGCCAAACCGGCCCACTGGGAATCCCCAGAACGTAGAGAATTACTATGTTATACAACTAGCTTGTCAGGCTAACTACATAGTGCGAATAGTCAACCCCTGGAAGATCATCCTTGTAAAGATCATCCGTGGAAATTTGCATGAACCCCACCAGATCCACCAGATCCACCAGATCCATCCCGCTTAAGATAGAAATATCGCTGTAATTGGTGCGGGGGGCGACGATCCGTCTGCCCGACACGGGAGGCATGTCCCGACCATGGGTCACACCTTGAAACCGTTACAGGCGTTGTGGGGGTTATGTTACAAGCCAACTTATCATTGGCCGCTTCATGAAGTAGCTTGTTCGGAACGTTGTAGAGCTTTGAGACTTGCATGAATTACCACATTGGGAATAGAGTCCCCCCTGTAGTTTTTCTCCGCTGTTCTCCGTTGGAAATCACGTATTTATCCATCCTCTCCTCCAAATAATTTCACACACAAATTTGAAAGTGATATATTGGCGCTTGTAATTTTGGTGATTTCACTTCAATTCGACATCCGCACCCTCTCATCATGTCCACCTTTGACTTCATCATCGTCGGAAGTGAGTAATCACCATTCCGCCCTAGCTTTGTTGGCGCATTATCGTAAATGGAGAAAACAACCTTGAGAAATGAGACCTAACGCCCCCAAACGAAACAACCCACACCCACTCATCCATTAAATCCAAGTCTTCTAATACTTCTATCTCACAGCTGGCCCATCCGGTTGTGCCCTCGCCGCCGGCCTCGCAAACTCGACCGCAAAGCCCCGCGTCCTCCTCCTGGAAGCAGGCGATAATAACGAAGATCGGAACCTTCGCATCGACGGCCAGCGATGGCTCACCTTCCAGGACCAGTCAATGAACTGGGGATTCAAGACTACCCCGCAGCCGGACTGTAACAATCGTGAGATCGACTACAGTCGTGGCCGGTGTATGGGCGGGTCAAGCTCCATCAATTTTGGCGTGTACAGTGTCGGCGCGCGCGACGATTACCAGGAGTGGGCCAGAATTGTTAGCGATGAGACTTTTGCGTGGGGAAATGTTCAGCAAAAGTTTAAGGATCTGGAGACATTCCATGGTGAGATCCCCGAGGGCATAGATAGGAAATATGCGGATCCGAAGATGGAGAATCATGGAAGTGAGGGCCCGTTGCACGTGGGTTTTGCACGGGAGTGGGAGCGCGATTTAACAGACGTCTTGGATGTCTTCGAGGAGGCTGGGTTTCCATTGAATCCAGATCATAACTCCGGGGATCCAATCGGGATGTCGGTGTTGATTAACTCAACGCATAAGGGGTTGCGCTCAACAGCCGGGGACCTGGTCAAGGAGAAACTGGAAAATTTGACTATTGTGACTGGGGCCCCTGTGCAGCGTATTCTCTTGGAGGGAAAACAGGCTGTGGGCGTTGTGTCGAACGGGACCGAATGTGAATACGCGACCTATCAATGCTGCGAGTTGTCCAGATACTGATACCTGTGAACAGACCGTGCCGAAAAGGAAGTCATCTTATCCGCTGGCTCGCTAAACGATCCTCGCATCCTGATGCACTCAGGCATAGGCCCCGCCGCCCAACTCCAGCAATACAATATCCCCGTCGTCCACAATGTACCCGCCATCGGCCAGGGGCTCCGAGACCATTGCTTCGTACCAATGGTGAACACTCGCACAGAAAATAGCACAGACCGCAAAGCCTTTTATGGCGACAAAGCCGCCATGGACGCGGCGCTGAAGCAATGGCAAGAAGATGGGACAGGGCCTTGGTCGAAATTTGCCTGCGAGTTGGGCATCGGCTGGTTCAAGCTGACTGAGCAGCTCACTTCCTCGCCGGAATTCAACGCCCTCCCGGCAGACGAACAGAAGTATCTTCTGCAGGAGACCGTGCCACACTACGAAATCCTCACCCATTTCCCCGTTCACTGGGTCATCCCGGATTTCCCGCCCGAGGCATTGAGTTACTCCTGTCTGCTCGTCTTCTTGTTCAACGCGCAGACTCGTGGAGAAGTCACATTGCAATCCTCAGATCCTGACTCTCCGCTCTCTTTCAACCCCAAGTTCCTGGCCCACCCGTTCGACCGCCGACTCGCGATCGAGGCCTTGCGCGACTCGTTCCGCATTGCAAAGCACGAATCCTACACAAAGGATAACGTGGCAGAGCTGGCAATGCCCAAGAGTGAGTCAGATGAGGATTTGCTCGAGTACTGGCGGCAGAACATCTCGTCGAGCTGGCACATGACGGGGACGGTGAAGATGGGTAAGAAGGGCGATGTGGACGCGGTGGTGGATTCAGATTTCAAGGTGACAGGTATTGAGAATCTGCGTGTGGCAGATATGTCGGTCGTGCCTGTGTTAGTGAATGCGCATGTCCAGGCTGCTGCGTATGTCACTGGTGCAATTTGTGCGGAGAAGTTGATTAGCCAGTATGGCCTTTCGAAGTCTAGCCCCTAGATCAAATACCGATGTGGATCAATGCAAATCGTACATTGTATATCCTATATATTCATACAAAAGGTAAATGACACGAAATTTTCGACCATCGAAACATCCAAGAAAGTTATCTCGGTAGTGGTCCCGCGGTCCCGAGGTTGTCAGTGGAGAACTCCAAGTTTTTTGCCGGTAAAGTTAAAATTTAAATTATTAAAAACAAACCCTATTGTCGTCATTTAGAGTGGGGCATAAATACCATACTAGCGTGGCCCGGGGATTATCGGGGATTACTATTACCAATTGGGTAAGTGGTCGGAAGTACGGAGTACAGATGTACATATGCGCCTAGTGGGGCTAGTATTATTAGGAGGTCTGAGAGTACGGAGTAAATACTTAGGTCATTAGAGCATTGTAGGTCATACCTTGGAAGGCTTTCGCTAGAGCAGCCATAAACACTCAATTTAATAATAGCGCCGACCCGGATACCTAACCTAGTGAATATTTTAGGAGATCATCCTAGCTATAATTAGACTCTGACAAGGCCCATAAATGTGTCGAAGACCTCCACCAAGGAACCAATACAGGACCCATCGAGGGGGCTGCGTATGAAACTTGGAGAAAGTGCAGGTCATAGCAGAATATCGGTGTGTTGGGCGCTTGGCACGATCCATTATAAAGCCGCTGAGTTATCCTCATAAAATACTCACCTGTATTAAAATGTGAAACTACAGCACATGGGAAATATACAAAAAAATGATTCGTGGATAGATAAAGCACACCTAATGTTAGCATCTTTATTGATTTCAAGTATTCGCTTAGTAAAGTAAATTATCATATATACTATGTACTAATAGTGCCTGAAAACGATTCAGTGGCAGGTGGCATACCAAGCTTATCAGGTCTCAATAATACCGCTTCTCCAACATCAATTATCTGTCAACCTCCAATTGTTCTAACGTCCCTCGAACTAAATTGCCCGAGCTTCGTGATTGTTTGTCAAGGCCAAGAAGACAGAAGCAACAATAGGCGCCTCCAGGCCAGAATGACCCAGAGCTTAGCACAATGAAGAAGCCAACAACTCGCTGTCCTCCCACCCGTGTCAGATCACCCGTTAAGCCCTGCTGCGATCTGCTACCAACCGACCGTGTTAAATGCGTCACCGCAAGATGGCAGTGAAGGTGTAGTCGAAGCCAAGAGGGAGTCGAAGGGGAAGGTAGACAGCAAGAATTGTGCGACACCTATATGACGGATAAGCTCGATGTGTTGGAGGAGCAGCATACTAGCAAAGAAACAGATGACTTCCTTGAATTTGATGGGTGGTGGTATGAAAGTACCTTGGGGTTCATTGGGGAGCGGAAGGTGAGAGGGCATACCTGTTCAATACGGACCTTGTTGATATTCTGGATTAGGAGATATGAGTGACGACCTGGTTTGACATTCCCACTCGCTGATTAATTCACAGGAAACATAGAGTCTTCCGTCCAGCCCTCACGGGAATGGTGAAAAATGAACCAAGACAAGACGATCACCACATCCACCTTAAATGCATCTGCCGCTCTCTCCAACGCAAACCGCGTGCTCGCACCGAGCAAAGCATTCCCCGGAACTAGTTTAGGCGCCCTCACCACGCCACTCCGCGGTTTCGGCCCGACCACCCTATTCGCAGGCAAGGTTGAACAAGGCCGTTGCAGAGGGGATATGATGTCAAAGAGTCGACAAACCGCAAGCTACCGAATGAAAGAAATGTGCCTGATTAAGTCGCCAAGCAGCGAAAATCAGAGGAGGTGGAACCGCAGAAGGTGGAAAAGTGAGAAAGTTTGAGGCCGAAGCAATGAGAAATGAGGAGCGTATATCATTGACGATTTTCTTGGTTGGTATATTGTCTTCCATATCCACTCTCGCAATTTCTCCGTCATTTATCTCTGATATAGGTAGTACTGCGCAGTATAATGTTGAAGTCTAGTTAAGCCTATCTAATCGTTCTCTCCAGGAAAAAGAAACTTGCATATACAGAGATAAGCAATCACAGCTTCTTGGGCGCCTCAGACTGCTCGCCCAGCCCAGCGATGACCGAACGCCGTGACTTCAGCCTACTCAGCCATGCATGCACATGTGGAAATTCTTTCTCCAGATCAACCCTATCGCCCGCCGCCCAAGGGACAACCTCAAACCACGAAATAAAAACGAGATCCGCATAACTGCACTTATCGCCCACTAGGTACTCACGGCCCTGCAAGACGCCATTCAGCACACCTGAAACGCGCCGAATCTCATTGATGTACCGATCAACAGCAGATTGCAGCTGTTCTCGATGATGAATCTTGAACCACACAGCCTGACCGAAATACGGGCCCTGTCCCGATGCCTGGAAATGCAGCCATTGTTTTGCATGATAGGACTCTGGAGTATCGGCGTGAAAGCTGATCACCCTGTTCTTATCGTATTTCTCCACCAAGTATTCGATGATTGCTCCAGACTCCCATAAAGTGATTCCCGTGTTAGGGTCTTCGATTGCGGGGACTCGTCCGTTGGGGTTGATATTTTCGTAGGCGGGCTGTTTCATCTCCGGAAATTCCAGGACCTTGATTTCGTACGGAATTCTGAGTTCTTCCATGACCATCACCACCTTTTTCGGGTTGGGGCCTGCGTGGTGGCCATAGAGGAGGATGGATTTCATAATTCGCGAGGAGAGGAGAAATGGTAGGAATTGGGTATATTTAGTACGCTGACAGTTGGTGACTTTTGGAAATCTCAGCGATGTTGAGTTGTTGTATTATTCCCCTAATTCCATATTTATATTTCGCCCTCGGGGTTGGATTATAGAACAGACCGAAGCTGACAAGGCCTCGGGACGAAGGGTCTAGCTCAATCCGAACCATGGGACGATCGGGGTAGTACTGATTGATAGGCCAGTTGCCTCCCAGTGAAGCCCTCAAGGTTAGCACTTTGACTTGGCGGATTACATAGTGTTGAAATCCAGCCTTCTCACTCTTCGGTCTCTGATGATTATGCGATACACCCTTCCAAAGTTGTGACTCCCCACCTTAACGCCTTTCTTGGGTTTCACTTTCTCTGCATATATCACTGTTGAAATATGCACAGTAATACCTTCCGCCCAATTACTCCAAAAATTGACCATGTCTACAAACAACATCGCCTTCACCGCTCCCATCAATCCCGCTGGCGCGAGCCCAAAGCTGCACCAAGACCAAATTTGGGCCGGCCTTCGCCTAAAGATCCGATCTGCAGAAACCTTCGTCCCCAAAGCCATACAATCCACCACTGTGATCTCCGAAACAATCAATCCGACCACGGGGAACGAAGTCACTGTTCGGGAGGTCATTTTCGTCGAGGACCGGCGTAAAGTTCAGGAGACAGTCACAGCATACAAGCCTTCCAGGGTCGTCTTTTTCCAACCTGATGGCAGCATCTGTTCGAAAGGAACTATATGACTTTCTCCTAATACCATTCTCCAATGTGGTTATATGTTGTAAACGCACGTATTACAGAGTACATGTGGTAGACCTCGACTCAAGCTAGAAGCCAGCGGCCTCACCTCAGATGAGGCATCTTAATATTTCCCCGGCTACTGTACACAAGGCAAAGTGGGACCCTCGGCATTGACTGCAGCACCGACGGCACCGATCTGTCAGCCGGGGCCACAAGTCGGCGCTCCGACTCTCCCGAGCCGGGCATTGCATAGTAAATCTTTTATTTTTCCATGGTAGATTTATATTTAAAGAAACAATCTTGAGGAAATTGCTTGGAGTTATGAACCTAAACTCTATAAGATCTTCAATATGACTCCTATCAGAGTCGGTATTGCCGGTATCACGGGGAAATTCGCCCGTTGCGTTGTTGATCACCTTTTGAAGCAACCCGACATTACTATCAAGGGTTATTGCCGCGACGCAAGTAAACTTCCCGCTGCCCTCCTTGCTTCCCCGAGAATTCACATCACCCAAGGTCAATCAGACGATAAAAATGCATTGCAAACCTTTGTCAAAGGGAACGATGTGATGGTTTGCTGCTATCTCGGTGACCACAACCTCATGATCAATGCTCAAAAGTTCTTGATCGATGCTTGTGAGATCGAGGGAGTCGGTCGCTACGTGGCAAGCGACTATAGCCTGGACTTCACGAAGCTAGAGCTTGGGCAGTTTCCCGCAAAGGATCCCATGAAGCACATTCAGGATTATCTGAAGAGCAAGAACGTCCAAGGAGTTCATGTTTTGATTGGCATTTTCATGGAAACTTTCTTCACCACTTCCTTCAATTGCTGGAATGCCAAGGAATTCTTGTTGTCCTACTGGGGATCTGGTGAGGAAATATGGGAGTCAACAACCTACGACAATGCGGCCCAGTTCGTCGCAGCTGTCGCCCGGGATCCTGCTGCGGTTGGTACACAGAGATGTGAGCTTCCCCTTCTGAATCGATCTATCTGAAATGAATCACTAACTTTAGTAGTCCTTGGTGATTGCAAGAGCATTCAACAAATCGCTACAGCATTCGAAAACCAGTACGATTTCAGACCGAAGTTGAACAGACTTGGATCTCTGGACGAACTCTACACATATATGCAACAAGCCAGAGACAATGACCCGAACAATTTTATGGCTTGGATTCCTCTGGAAATTTCAAATATGTGAAGTCTAGCCTGAGAGATGCTAACATGCTTGGATTTTCTAGGTTCTACAAGTTTTACTGCACCAACGGACAGGCTTATCTCACCCCCGACGTCGATGCTTCCAAATATCGCGAAATCCCACGACTTACCTTCGACGAATTCTTCAAACACCATTCCCCAGAGTCTCTGTCAACTGCAGCCTGGGGTGTTGGTTTGAACATCTCGGTAAAATAATGGATCTGCGCAATGCATGCTGCTTTGCACAACTGGGCTCATCGCTCCCTTAGACACAACAGACGATGTGGGAATAAAATTATCTTGTACCATAGTCAAATTAAATAGCAGCAGTAGGAAATCCACATGTAGGACTGAGCTCCTTTTTGCTGTGCACTGGGCTTGCCACATAGATGCCTGTAGTGATGATGTCATTTGCCTCGAAGCTATCCCTATATAAATAGACTTCAATACCCCCTAGAAAATTCAATTTCTATTTTCTTGTCGCACGATTTCCAGAATGCCAAGGTCAATTGCAGTCATTGCCGGCGCAGGGCCGGGAACCGGCAGCGCCATTGCCCTACGGTTCGCCAAGGCCTACCCAGTTGTATTACTTGCTCGATCGCAATCGTCCCTTGACCCTCTGGTTTCTGATATCACGCAAAGTGGTGGCTCTGTAATGAGCCTCCCTACAGATGTCAGCAACTCTTCAAGCATGACCTCGACAATGGACCAAATCAAGGCCAAATTTGGTCCTGATCTGACAATTGCTGCCGCTATTTACAACGTGGCGAGCAAGTTCACGAGGAAACCCTTCCTGGAACAAAGCCAGGAAGACTTCCTCGGGAGCCTTGAGCCATCTATCAAGGGTGCTTTTAACTTCGCTCAGGCTACACTACCCCTGATGCTCAGTCCCAACGAGGGACAGTCTCCGCCCACTCTCATTTTCACCGGTACCGGATACTATTCCTAATTGATTAAATGCAAACCCTCTTAATCATTTTTATAGGCGCAACAGCTGCACTTAAAGGAGGCTCCGGGCTTTCTGGGTTTGCCATGAGCAAATTTGGCATCCGTGCTATGTCCCAGTCTCTTGCCCGTGAATTCGGCCCGAAGGGTGTTCATGTCTCGCACGCAATCATTGATGGCATCATTGATACAGAGAAGACCAAAGATTATCTTAAGGATATTCCTGATGGAAAAATCGATCCTGAATGGGTAAGAGAAATGCTATCTCAGCGCGGCCAGTTCTCACTAACCAACAACCACAGATTGCGGAATCTTACTGGTTTTTGCACACCCAGCCCAGGAGTTCGTTTACTCACGAGATTGATCTCCGACCGTATTCAGAGACTTGGTGAGAAACTAAGCATTAAACAGGAGGGTTGTCTTTACAGTCGGTTCTTCTTCATTGAGAGTAATCTTTATAGTACAATCAACCGAAAGGTCATACAACTCGAGCTAAATTTATCCTTTGCCAAAACACGAAATAGATGCGATGTGTCCAAATGTTGATACTAACATGATATATCTATACGGCAGTGGGAAACGCAGAGTGACTTCTCACCAACGAAGCATCACCCGCAATTAACGGAATGCATATCTAGTTGAGCAGACGTTCAATAGATAACAAGCTGACAGACACTCATGCCTGGCCCTTGCGCTCTCGGAAGAAATCCTCGGTTTTAGTCCAAGTCAGGTCGGGGTATCGATCATTATCGAGCGGGTCAAGTTTGCCAGCCCCAGAGAACATGTTCGCCATGTATTGCATGCCCTGCCAAGCAGGGAATATCTCATTTTCACCACCAAACAGACGCATAAACCGGATCATAAAATCCATAGTACCCACCGTGCCCATCCATGAGGGCTTATATTGTACCCCTTCGATATTGGTCTGCGCCTGGGCGATATCATTCACGTTGACGGTATCGCTAGCAATGCGGAGGAAATTGGGCGCAGGATTAGGGTCTACGGCCACAGCAGCCGTGTATGCAGCCGTGTCTACCATGGTGGTAAAATCGAGCAGCTGTGTCGTCTGCCCGATATATGCTACCTTCCGGCTTTTGTGGTTGATCATCGACGAATCGCCGACCAAGAGATCCATGAAGCCGCCGTTGAGGATACTCGTCCATTTGATACCGGACGTCTTCAACTGAGCATGGAACTCGCGGCGTAGGTCGAGGTTGCGGTTGGATCCAGGCTTTGTCTTCGTGAAGTCGAGGGAGAAGTCCGAAGGAATGAACCTAGGCACCTTTGCGGCCACAGAGGCCTCGAGGAGTTTGCTCTGAACGTCGTGGATGACATCTCTCAGTCCCTGGAGCGTCGAAACGACACAGATGGCTCCATTCAGTTCGTGTGTGAGAGCTGGGACCGCGCGGAGATCCACTGAAGCGATGGTCACGCCAGCATGGCGGAGCTTTTCGGTGCGGGAGGGATCGGTGTTGGGGCGGACGAGGGCCTTCACGGCCACGCCTCGGTTAATCAGTGCCATTGCGACAAGCTGGCCTAATCCACCAGAGGCACCGGCGACCACGACAAATGGGGAAGTCATTTTGGTTCTCTTTGTCGATAGCTAAGACAGATTTGCGAAATGAGTCAGATATTCGTGAGAATGATTGAAAACATTTCAACGGTCAACGCGCTTTCTTATCTAAATATATAGTTCTAAGCTACTCCTGTTGCCGGGCAGAATTTGCCTTCGAAGTTGATAAAAGGGGGGTCGCTGTGGACTTAGTCATGACCATGTTTCGGGGCCGAGATTAACCCCGAAGTGGCCATGCTTATAGATATCTCGTTGAATATATGCAACATAGATGGAAAATTCTTCAGAACATTATGGAACTTATTACATCAACTCGGCGTATCGTCTTTACGCCATTGTCGATTTACCAATTCCATTCTTGGTTGTTTAAACGTTAATTAGGTAGATAAAATATATACAATAAAATATATATATCGGCACCAGCTCACACGCCCCGGGCCTGGTATTATATCAGACCTCATATCACATGATCGGAACATAGGGAAACAAAGATTATCGACAGGAATTATCCTAACTATCCGTAAATCCTACCACTTCAAAATGGCCAGTCACTTCTCCTCGAGTCTTCTCCCACTAAGCGACCATGATTATAAGTTATACAACCGCATGGCGGATAAGATGCAGTCATTGGTATGTGCTCTTTCTGCAGCGTTCATACTCTATACGGTTTGGCTAATTATCTTCACAGCATCAATGGTTTCGTGTGCGATGGAAAATAATCTACGACGTGGCAGCATCATCACAACGCCCCGCCGGTATTTCTATCAAGAACTACCTGAACTTGTGTTTGGAATTTTGTGAAAATCTCGAGACGCACCACAAGATTGAAGAGGTAAGCGCTCATAGAACCAAGTCTGCTCTCTTATGCTTGGCTCATTTAAGTAACAGCTTTGCAGATCCGCGTCTTTCCATACCTCGCGACGCGCATGCCTGCTTTTGCCAACCAAGATCAATTGATTAAGCAGCATAAAGTGATTCATAAAGGACTCGAAAGATTGGAGTCGCATGTGCGCAATTGTCTACGAGGTAATGCTGATTTGCGATGGAATGAGATTAAAGATATCTTGGATGCGTTTGGAACGACCCTCTGGGAGCATTTGGACGACGAGGTCAAAGAATTGGGAGCCGAGCAGACTCGGAATTACTGGTCAAAGGAGGAAATGAGTAGAATGCCGATGTGAATTAGTTGTATTGTAGTCTAGAAATGTTAAATATAAATATAATTTATACTCAAGTATGGAAGTCTCAGAATAGATACAAAACATATGCTCAAGGGATTATCGTGGGGATCCTTTCATTCACACTAGTATTAACTATACGATCTTACTAACCAGGCCTAGTAATTCTGGCAGTGATGCTTTGTAATTTGTGTAAAAGCATTTCAAGGGTTACTCGGGGCTCGGCATTACCATTGAGGCCGATCTCCAGCCACGTCAAGATATGGGGCTCTTCGATTGCGCTTATTCGACCTGAAATTCGAATTGAAATATCTAAGTATATACTAAGCTTGGTTAGTTACCGGTGCTATGAGTGAGTATTGATTGTGGATCATTGTAAATGGAAATAAAATCACCGGAGCATCTAGTACCTGTATGTCTACGATGAATTCCTCTGTTTAACTATGATGAAAAACGCGCTTAATTTAGGGGAGCTCTCTTCAAAGGGCGATCAATGAAGCCAGTATACATGTACATGTATATATATCTCATATAGAGACATTTAGTGGTAGATGAACTGTGTATTGCCTTCGTCTCAATACCGAGTCCCGACCACCGAGATATTGCTTATCAAATAGAATCGGGGCCTGGAACCCAGTACCATCATCATTGACAGAACTTTTCCTATTCTGTCTTATATTTCAATTTACGGTCATGAGCGCATTTAGACATTTTCCATGTCTCCCATAAAAAATATCATGAAGCCTATCACCATCATAGTGTGCGGCAAGTCTGCGCACGTTGCCGTTGGTGTGAAGGAAGGCATCAGACCAGCATATGAGGGTGAGTTATTGACTCCCGATAGTTCAGTTTTGATCCCTTCAATAGCTGACCGAATTGAAGCACTCCATGTCATTCAATCTGTGGAAGCTGGGGTGAGGGATATTCCACCCCTTTTGGAAGGACTTCCTCCTCCGCCCAAGGAGCGGGCAAATCTCGGAACTCAGGAGTACGGGAAAAAAGTCGCAGCAGTCATTGCTGGAGGCGGATACAATGATATAGACTTTGAACAGTTACGAAAGGCTTGCAATGGGAAAAGCAGTATACCGTGGCTGCGCCACGATATAAGCAAGGATATTGACCTAAGGCAACTTAGGCCCAAAGTGGGGATTGAGTATGGGGAGCAGATTGCGAAGAAGATAGTAGAGTGCTTACAAGGCTTGGAAAAAGAGAAAAAGATGAACAAGGATGGCGTATATTGGTTCTAGGCAATATCATATGACAATTTCTCTCTAATGGAGTTCACTTCACCTCAACTGAACAGTATAGATTTTGGCACGCTTCCAGAATAATACTCAAGCTACTAACAGGATATTACTGCTTTCAATATCGGGGTATTGATCTAGTGAAAAGTTTCCCCGCCACTCACATCGAAAATTTGTCCACTAATAAACGAAGCCTCCGGGCTGGCAATGAAGCAGAAGGCGTGCGCAATGTCATCGGGTGTCCCACACCGTTTCACATCCTGTTTTGCAATTACACGCTCAAAAAGAGAGTGTGATCCATCAGATTGTACTCCCGAATTCCACACCTGGTCCGTTTTGATCAGCCCCGGCATCACGGCGTTCACAGTCACACCGGGCCCGGCTTCAACGGAAGTACCGCGCACCAAGCCTATAATGGCGGCCTTTGACGTAGCATATACAGCAAGCCCTGGTTCTGGCTCTTGGAATGTGGACGACGACGTATGGATGATACGCCCATATCCAGATCTCTGCATATGAGGAAGAACGGCACGAGTGAGGTAGAAGGAGGCGTCAAGATTTACCGACATCATGCGGCGGTAGGATTCAGTCGTCATGTCGTTGAGAAGATCAAACAGATAAATTCCAGCGATGTTGGCAAGGATGTCAATCTTTTGGAATTGACGAATGATCGAGTCGACACTTTCGTGAATTTGTCGTTCGTCCGTGATATCACAGACCAGATAGCTTGCTTTGCCGCCGCGGGATTGGATCAGACATTGAACCTTTTGAAGCAATTCCTCTTGGATGTCAAGAATAATGACTTGGGCGCCTTGCTGGGCAAACAGTTGAGCTGTCACAGCACCGATTCCTTGAGCAGCTCCTGTGAGAACAGCAACATGGCCAGAAAACTTGTCTGAATAGACCTTGATGGTTGGGATATTGGCACCAATCTCGGAGTTCATGGCCATTTTATTTCTTTGTGATTTCCTGGGAAGAACCCAAACGGTGATGGAATGTAAACGGCATTCGTAGTAACAAGGGATGGCCTTGATTCCATATTTGCCCCGCAAAGTCCGCACTCGTAAAGCACCAAAACTCAGCGAGAGAAACTATTATTGTATGCATATCACATCTGGGGTACAGGAAACTTTTGCAAGGACTTGAATCGCATTGGTAATTTTTATCTTATGCCAACTTGGAACTCCGCTATGTCTTCAGAAATACTCGTGGCAATAGCTCAGCGGAGAAATGATCTGCGGATTTAGGCCCCAATTTCACTTAGTATATCCAGTGAGGAAATAAGGGTATATAGCCTAAGCTCAATCAACGAGAGTCACAGTATTCAAATCTCCATTCAATTGGATTTACGGGGTTGAAGTTAAATTGGAACTTTGGAGGTATTAAAGCGGCACCAACAGTATACTACCAAACCATTGCAAAGAAAACAATCCACACACCACTCCAACCTGAACCTTCTATTCGACAGTGGATCGCAGAAAGTCAGCATCAACTACAAATACCAATTATTGTAGCGTAGCGTCCTTTAAACAAGATATCTGGCATCACCGGCACAGGTGGAAGCATGGTACGTGCCGCTGCCCTCAAATTTTCAGAAGAGGGCGCGAAGATTGTGGACTGTGATGTCAACTTCGCCAACGAACAGGCAACCATCCAAGCTGTGCGGAGGAAATGATGAGAGATGGTATCTTTATCTACATATGATCTTACCAAGCGACAGAATTGCTAGCAAGTGGTGGACCTGGTCATCAAAGAATATAGAAGAATTGGTGTATTGTATAACAATGCGGGAATGGCAGACATATTTTGCCTGGATGGACAAGAAGAAGGACGAACATTGGTACAAGACAATCGACCAAGAGTTGAGCCTGGTCTATCCTTATGACACAGGTATTTGGAAGAGTCTCGTGAATCAATCATCAATGTTAATTCTGTTAACGGCTGGGTTGTGCTCTCTCAACTACCGGTACCGCTTGATCAAGAGGGGCCCTGCAGTCAAAGTCAAAAGCGAAGTGCTCGCTTCTCAGCGATGCCGAGAATTCTGAATCCCAATATTTATCGCAAAGTGTCTCAACATAGAGACGGCTCGCGTCGATGGGGCTTATATTGAGGGTAGGTAGTCAGGGTAGCAGGATGGACCGTCTCGCTATGCAATAAACTGGGTTTCGTTGGGCACGTCGTTTTGAGAATACATTGGATACGATTTAGATAAATCAACCACTCTGGGCGGCGCGTAAATGGTTTGCCCTGAAGCAAGACGAGTTGGTAGTCGGGAGCTAGAAGCATCAGTCACCTCGTTAAGCTGGTCCGAGGTGTTTCGACGTGATTGTAGAATGACGCGCACGATTGTGTCAAGTGAGAGTGCCAATATACTGTTAAGCACTCAGTTGATAAGAATGGATGATTCTATAACATACTTGCGACCAAACAACTTGCCACAGCTTTCGCAGGCGAACGGCTTCTCTCGGGCGTGAGAGCGCAGATGTCTCGTCAGATGGTTCTTATTGAAAAGCAATTTAGGGCACAGTGAAAAAAACATGATTTTGTGACATTCCCGGGTTATCAGCGTACCGACATGCTGAGATATCGTGTGCAGCAGAGAATGTGTTCACGCTTTGGCTTCCACATTTTGTCAGTCGTCGCTCTTCGGCACTTTGTTCTATGCCGAACTCACACACCTCTGAGAAGTATTCGTATTTTTTTATACAAATCGCACTCATGGAGACATCCAGGTTAATGGTCTAGCACGATCTCTGAATTTAATTCTCTTTCAAGATGGCAGGCGACAGAAGGCTGAAGGACAATTTGTCGCGTGTCAAAGCTCCCTCTCCCCTCGGCTAATCTATCTTTGTCAGGCTTCGTTTGACAGATGTGATTTGGCAAAATGCAATTTTCCGTTGGGGCTAGGCATCTCAGTTGGCGCGATATTTAGGTGGAACGCTTGTAGAGGTTCTGTATGCCTCGAGTGACCGCTTAAACCCTTACTACCAGCTGCTTGTTGTTATGGCCCTCGGCAGCGGGCTCAAGCAAGCAATTTCCATGGCCTTTATCTCAGAGCAAGAGCTTTCGAGCTGACTAGGCTTTGGCATAGGATTCTTCAACACCGTCTTCCACTCGACAAACATCCTTCTTTCCGTCTAGTCCCTCACCTCCCAGTTTCCTTCCTCCGACGGCCCGCTTGGTGTCCAGTCCACGACTTCAGTAGCGATGTAGCGATCGGCATTTGCACTTACACTGTGGGCATTTTGACTGAGTTGGTTTCGGAACTCCAGCGCCGTTGCTTCAAGAAAGACACTGGCAATAATGGGAGGCCGTATGGGAGTGGACTGTTCTCGCTCGCTACAAACATTAATTACGGTGCCTATGCCTTGTGGCGTGCTGGTTTTGCGTTGGCAAGTGGAGGCTGGGCCTGGGGACTCTTCAACTTTTCAAATTCTTTCTATGATTTTGCGACTCGTGGAGCTCCAGCCCTTGACCAGTACTGCACTGAGGGAGTATGCGTATTCTTCTCCCCCCTACTTTATCCTATGCAATTGCTTACTAGCCGATTCTTAGTATGGAAAACCTTGGACATCTACCAAAACCCGCGTTCATTACCACTTGTTACCGTGGATATATTAGAGAATGCAAAGAAGAACAGAATTCCTGGTGTGTAATTGGGTGGATAAAGTCGAGTGGATATGCCTGTGCAATTTTTAGGAAGCTGGGCTGTTTTCTGCTCCATTGATGTGTAGTACTGTTGCCGGTATAACAGTAGGTGATGACTAACTAACTAACTAGCAGGTCTAGAGCTGCGGGCTGAATAATTACATAATCAATAGGTGAGGCCCCTGTCCCCGGCCGTATCGACGTCATATGATTTTCCCATTGGGCGGGATATCGGGGAAATAATATATATCTTGTGCAGACAATTATCTTGGCATAACGTCTTCACCTTTTACCTAAGTAAAATCATGATGCTTACCAAATGGTCCAACCAGCCAATCCTGTGAATTCCAATCTTCCCCGCGAAGGAGTATCGACCTTACTCCATCGCAGTTGCAATGCCTGCAACCGCAGGAAGGTCCGATGCAACAAGAAATCTCCGTGCGATAACTGCGTGAGGCTTGGATTTGAGTGTACCTTTCCACCGCCTGGACGCAAGGCCCGGACAAGACCAGCAAAAACATCCAACGCTGAGTTGATCTCGCGATTAAGCCTCTTGGAACGGGAAGTGCAGAAGCTTGGCGCGCAAAACCTTGCTGCTGATACCGCCGTGGACAACCTGGAAGATCAGCACATTGAGAAGACTCTGGAGAGCAGCCACACTGCGGCTTCATGGCCGTCGAATACCCCTGCAAATCTCGAAGCGGGCGCGGAAGAGTTCGAAGAGGAGGGAACTGGGATCCATGGAGGTCAGACTTCACCAGTGCCGTCTCTCACCACCTCTGAAAGTACACTAGGACAACAATTTGGACGGCTGGTCATCGACAGAAGCAATGGGACAAGCCGTTATGTGAACCATAGGGTTCTGACGGATCTGGGAGATCAGGTAAATTGTGCCCCCCTCCCTCCATATTAAGTCGATTGGGGTTCTCGAAATAACTTTCTGAATTTATTTGATTCTGTAAAGATCAAGGAACTTCGTGATGCTTTCGATCCCCAATCATCGCCGACACCATCATCCGAGGGAGATACTTCATCTCCAGACTCTCCTGCGACATACTCTGAAACACATAGCCCTTTCATGTTCGGTTATCGTTCTTCTGTTTCTTCTCTACACGAATACCATCCGTCGCCGACGATGAGCCATCTGCTTTTGAATGTCTTCGAAGAGAACATTGCACCCATAATCATGATCATTCACAAGCCAGCGTTGAGGGGCCTTATCCAAACGTCTTGCGCAAATCCCGAAGAGCTTGATAGGGGTTCCGAAGCGTTGGTGTTTTCTGTGTACTTCGCTGCAGCCTCTAGCTTGACACCTGAACAATGTGTCGCCCAATTAGCGGAAGATCACGCTGTCGTGGTCAAGCGATACCGCTTCGCTGTTGAACAGGCACTGGCGCGCGCAGGGTTCTTCCATACCCACAAACTAATTGTATTACAAGCAGCCGTCCTTTTCTTGACATGTGCTTGTAGGCCAAAGGATACTCAATTTGTGTGGACCATGATAGCCGTGGTTGCCCGGGTTGGGCTTGGTTTAGGGCTCCATCGTGACGGCAGCCACTTTGGCCTCAGCCCCTACGAAACAGAAATGCGGCGCCGAGTCTGGTGGTACATCTATCTACTAGATGTTCAATCATGTTATTTTCAGGCGACGAGCCCCCAGATTCGCGAAGGGGACTACGACACGCGATTACCGTTGAATATAAACGATGATGACTTGTCTCAGGAGTCGGTGGATATTCCGCAAGAACGGACTGGCTTTACGGAAATGACGCTAACACTGGTCCGCTGTGAGATCCTGATGTCCCGTCGCAAATCTATGCAAATGACAAGCCTAGGGGCTGATGGCCCGAACGTCTTGTTCCAAAACCGCAATCTTGCAATAGAGCAGTCCAAGCGGCTCCTTGACGAACGACACCTCCAATTTTGTGACCTCAGCATCCCTATTCATTGGGTGGCAGCAACGATTGCACGAGTCGCACTTGCACGACTATGGCTAGTTTCTCATTTCTCTCTCCTAACCGCGCAAGGCTTCGATGCAAATCAGTGGCCCGATCGATGCGAAGTTCTTATCTTAACGGCCGTCGAGGTCTTGGAGTTCGTCTATTTGCTTGAGACCAACGAGAACACCGCCAAATGGTCCTGGTTATTCCAGGGATATGTGCAATGGCAGCCGTTTGCTTTTGTTCTATCAGAACTCTGTGTGCGCCCGGCTTCCTCGTTGTCCGATCGTGCGTGGACGATTGTAACCCGGGTTTGGGAACGGTGGAATGAGACAAGGACTCACAAAGATGGGCTGATCATGCGACCACTCGAACGTCTGATGAAACGGGCTTCTGCAGTTCGCACTCGTCTATCTAGTCAGTCGGAGCTATCTGCTGTCATTGAATTCAACCCGACCGAGATGGAAATTGCGGACTCACTAATGGCGGACCAAAGGGAGGATTTGCCGGGGGATCTACTGGCTGTTGACACCGCATCCTTGGACATTTTTAGGGATGTGGTGATGAACTTGGGTTTATAAAAAAGACTATGGGGAATCCGCCTTGGCACTAGGAGCAGCTTGTTAAGCAAAGGATAGGGGGCTAGCGTATACGTGGGTGAATATCCTAGAAATGGGTGACTTTTTGTTAATCCTTCGGGACTGTTCTGATCCCAAGCGTACCTGTCGCCGATCCCGAGGGCCCGAGCCCCCAATGAATTAATGCATAGGGTTAACTGGCTAGGTTGCCTGGAGTGGACTAAGCCGAGTGGATATTGGTGCCTTGGTACCTTGGATTCAAGGCTCTAAGGCTGTGAAACTGGGGCCTGAGGCAATATAGAGATCGACATAGAGAGATACGTCATGGCTCTAGAGACCAGTACACTCGGTGCTCGGGACTGACCTCAAGGCCGGGTTGATAACGGAACAACTACCAGCTCCTCATTCCAGACCAATCAAATGCAGAGTCGTCTGCTGTTTATCCAATGGGTCTTCATATTGAGTGGTGGCAACGCGCCACAATAGTTTTATACCAGGTAGCTAACCGTGAACTTTTACCAGCGCATTGGTATGGTTCTTCGGGCGTCCAGAATCCCGATTGACCAATCCAAGGTTGGTGCACGGTCTCATTAAGTGGGTTTAGAACACGGTGATCGGTTATAAACCAACGCCGAGCTTATTCACTGGCGATGCCTTTGCCCGAGAACGCTCATTCGCCTGTGGCCAAATTTAAGATTTGAAGCTAGATATTGAATTATAAAAGCTTCTGCAATTACTCGACAACCCAGGATATACCTCAAGCTATACACACATATCGCTCAAGTTTCTCTGTCCTAAGAGGCGAATTCATCAATTATCCGCCATGTCTAAGTTGATCACTATTTTCGGTGCCACCGGCAACCAGGGCGGTTCCGTTATCGACGCCATTCTCGCCGATACCCAGCTATCGAAGGAATTCAAGATCCGGGGTATCACCCGTGACACCAGCAAGAAATCGGCACAGGATCTGGCCAAGCGCGGTGTTGATGTCGTTTCGGTAAGATTGGCTCCTTTTTCTTTTTCTTTTTCTTCTTCTCTCGTTCACTTCCTTGGTCGTCGCCTTTCGTCATGGGTAAAGACTAACATTCAAACAGGCCGATCTTGGGTCCGTCGACTCTCTCACCGCGGCGCTTAAGGGATCTCACACAGTGTTTCTTGTCACCAACTATTGGGAGACTATGAACGCCGATGTCGAGTACTCCCAAGGCAAGAATGTCGCCGATGTCTCCAAGGCCGTTGGTGTTTCCCACCTGATCTTCTCATCTCTCCACCATGTTACGGAGGCAACCAATGGCCGCCTCACCCACGTTCCTCATTTCGATAGCAAGGCCAATATCGAGAAGTATATTCGTGTTTCGGGAGTTGGATGCAGCTTTGTCCTTCCGGGTTACTACATGAGCAACTTCACCCAGATGCTCAACCGTGCTGAGGATGGGTCGTACCAGCTCTTCTACCCTGTTGGAAAGCAAGCTCAGTTCCCTCTCTTTGATGCTGCCCAGGATACAGGTAAGACCTATCTTGACTCTCCTTTTTGGTATACATCGACTCACATATCTCCTAGGCCTCTTCGTGAGAGCTGTCCTCAAGCACCGCAACCAACTGAAGAACAATCGTATTTTGGCCGCCGATAAGTATTACAGCCCCGAGGAGATCGTGGATACCTTCTCTAAGGTGACCGGCAAGAAGGCTGTCTTTATCCAAGTCTCTTCCGAGCGATACAAGGCCTCTCTGCCTCCTGCTATCGCCGACGAGTACCTCGAGAATCAGCTGTTTGTGGAGAACCCTGGCTACTACCTCGGGGAGTCCCTCGATTCTAGCCTGAACCTTCTCGATGCTAAGCCCACCACCTGGGAGGAGTTTGTCAAAAAGAACATTTCCGCTTGGGAATAGATCACTCAAAAGGGAGTATGCTGTTAATTCGTATATATACATGTATATATATATATATCTATTGTTTTAATGAAATTCCCCGATATCGAACTTGTTAAAGTGTGCTCTAAATATTAAGTCATGACAGGATAATCAGACGGATTTGTCAAAAATGTATTTTATTTCCATATGTAACTATGCGTACCGAATTTCCCCTGGGGCTTTCCTATTTGAGCCGCTGACATTTGAAGGCGGGAACTTTTGACTAGTCTTGACAGCCCTTGCTGACAGGGCCTTGCATAACGTGAAAAAGGCCTGAACCGCTTATTGGGGGGTACAGGCGGGCAGTTCTTAGAGGCTTGTTTGGGCCCAGCCAATCCCGTGCCGAGAAAGGACCTGAGCTCGCCCCTTTCCACGCCATGGCTAATACAAACCATCCAAAGAGGCTTGCAGGTGCAAACAGACCTAGAAGAAGTCCGAACCAATGGGTGAGAAAGGACCCGACCCTTTACACAACATGGCTAATACAAACAATGCAAAGAGGCTTGATGCAAACAGACCCAGAAGGAGAAGTGCCAATCCCATGTCGAGAAAGCCCGCCAAACTATGCAAACCACACAAATCTCAGCCATGATAAACATCACTTGGCTAGATCCAATCATCAACCCACAAAAACAGCGGCCTTTTGTTCTCTAGTTTGCATTTGTCGGATTTAGGAGATCGTAGTAGCGAGTGCAAACATGACCGTCGGAAGCTTAGGGGTAGATACCGCAGATAAAGAAGCATCGCCATACTTAAGAGCACTAATCATTGTCGATTCATACAGATGGCTTTTTGTTTTCACGCTGCCGCGCTACACTCCCCCACATCAATTGGATACCCGGAGCTAGTGCCAGCCACGTACACTTATATATAATATGGCCGAAGTGAAAGGTCCATCTCGGGAGTCGTCCCCACTTCAAGTAGCCCAGTACGTGTCGCCGGGTCTGAAGAGTCGAAAGACGTACCGACATGCAATACTACGGATGAGGATGAGAAGAAAGCGGCTCCTTCAACAGGGCCTCCCAGTGTGGAATATCCGGGAGCTATAATGGGCAGTGTTCTCACCATCGCCTTGCTGCTGGCCATGTTTCTGGTCGCTTTGGACATGGTAAGGACTATTTTGTCCTTTTCAGGGAGCTGTGCAAGGAGGTAGCTAATCAAGTCTCTCCAGAGCATCATCACCACCGCTATTCCCACTATCACGGCTCGCTTCCATAGCGAAGGTCAGATGGGATGGTATGGATCCGCCTTCTTCCTTTGTTTAGCCAGCTTTCAGTCCTTTTGGGGGAAAGCATACAAGTACTTCCCCATCAAGATTGCATTTTTAACCGCCATCGCCGTGTTTGAGCTGGGAAACTTGGTGGCTACCCTCTCGCCCAACAGCCTGGCCTTGATCATCGGGCGTGCCATTCAAGGCATCGGTGGCGCGGGTATTACCGGTGGCTGCTACACAGTTCTAGCCTTCATCACGCGTCCGAAATACCTACACGCGGTTTTCGGTTTCACCAGTGGTGTCTTTAGCTTGTCTTCTGTGCTGGGCCCCATCCTGAGTGGTGTGTTCACCCAGTACGCGACATGGTGATGGTGCTTCTGGGTTAACTTACCTATTGGAGGTCTCGCAGTGATCATTTGAGTGCTGTTTAGAAGATGCCTCCTCATTTTCGTGTCGCGCATGCCAAATTGAAAGAGCTCCCCTTCCTCTTCGATATCCCGGGCATCACCCTCACGGTGTGTGCGTTGGTATGTCTGGTATTAGTACTAGAGAACGGCGGTGTCAACAAGCCCTGGAACACCAGCTACTGTATTGGACTTCTCATTGGATTTATCCTGATCGTTATTTTGCTTATCGCGCTAGAATGGAAGCAAGGTGAAGGGGCCATGATCGTTCCTAGGATAATCAAGCGCCGAACCGTTCTCGTCCTTGCGCTGTTCAACTTGACAGCACAGGGCTCTGGATTCGCCCGCATTTATAACCTTCCCATTTACTTCCAAGCAGCCCAAGGCCAGTCACCCTCAGAGTCGGGGATTCGAACACTGCCTACAGTGTTGTCAACCTGTAGGTAGCCTTCACCGTTGCCCCTATCGCCCCGTCTCTCGTGATTCCTCAGAACTAACCCACCTTCCGAAACAGCCATTTTCAGCCTCGCTGGTTCCCTTGCTATCGGCAAGGTGGGCTACTACCAGCCCTTCCTTATGTTGGGTTCCATGTTTGTGACGATAGGATCCGCTATGATCTACACCCTGGAGCCGAACTCTGGGGCAGGCAAATACATTAGCTATCAGGTGCTGGCGTCAATTGGGTCGGGGCTCATCATCCAGCTCAACGTCATTGTGGCTCAGGCAATATCCAAGCGGGCGGACATGTCTGTCACCGTGGGCTCTGTTTTATGTGAGTCATGCTGCGCACCGTCCTCTTTTGCTGCCTCTGGACACACCGACTGACGGAAACCCTTACTCTCACAGTCTTCCAATTCATTGGCGGTACTATCGGTGTTTCAGCTTCTACGAATATAATGAACAACGTCCTCATTTCCTCGCTGCCAACAGATAGCCCGGTATCTGCTTCTGATGTGCTTGCCGCTGGTTCAACCAATCTGACCAAGATATTCCCGAATGCTGCGGATCTAAATATCGTTGTTAACGCCTACATGAAAGGACTAAAGGCCGCCTGGATCTGGAGTATTGCCCTAGCCGGAGTGTCCTTCTTGGTCTCCCTCGCCGCAGAGCGCAAGAGTGTACGGCTGGACCATGTTAAAAAGAGAGCCGAGAAGAAAGCTGCGGCTGAGGCTGCGACTCCTTGAGCCTGCATGCGCAAAACCGCGTTGAATTTGGAGGGCTAGTTATTAGCAGACCCCTCTAATAGCAGGTCAAGAAACTTAAGATTATGCGTTTTTGTATGGTAAGTCTGGTACCAGTTGTCATATGATTTTCTGGTTATAACAACATGTGTCCACTATACTTTCAACTTAGTATTCGACAGGGACGACTAAAATAGTTCCTGTAGAGTGAATCTCAAAAATGGCTTGAACAATACACACTTGGCTTAAGCGTGAATCAAAAATTGAGCGGGTCACAACAAAATGAGGGCCGTCGAAAATACGGGTACTTTAATATACAGTGACATTTCATTAGTAGTTGCACCGGTCACGTTGACTGCGCTAGCTGGATACGACTAATTAAGATCCGAGCCCAGCATGGTATCATCTGGTAGTAGTCCCAAATAAAACATATTCAATTAAAAAGAATTGATAAAAACATACAACAGTGAGGATTCGCTGGTGGTCACCCACCCAACTACTAACTCACCGGCGTGTGGCTTAAGTACGGCTGAGCGGACGGGAAGCCCTGTTTTCCACACCCTATGGTCGTATGTATCAGTTTATGTGTGAAAGAGGACTATATAGTCAAATCAAATGTAGCCTCCTAGTGTCTATTGCGTGTTATATAGTACCGCATTCAGCTTTTAAATGGCCCTAATATTATTAGGGCCTGGTACCTTTTTTAAGAAAGAAACTTGATCAGAGTCGTGGATAGATCTCCGCAAAGCCTATTAGTGGGTCGGGCTTTGTGGAGGTCTAGTCGTGGATAACCTCTCGAATCTTTAGACGGCCGAAGACGCGTGCAATACCACCCCTATTATAGAGCTGACACACATCCAAGCTGGTCAAGGGGCAGAGCTCTGCCTCCGCGTTTCCTGCTCCTTCTTCAGCTCTGCCGATAAAGGCGCGTAGTGATGGGGTCCCACACACGCGAATTGCAGAGACGACCCCTATGGGGATGCCTATAGGCGCCATTGCAAAAAAGAAGTAGTCAAGGCCTGCGACGCTCTCACTGAGATATCGCTTCGTGATCTTTGCACCAAAGAGGGATAGGAATGGCGCGAGATCGGTCGCGAGATGGTTCGAACAAGTCATCTTAGTCGCCCGCGGCTAGGCGACATGGAATATATGAAGATATTTGGATGGATAGATCACGTACATATGGATATCCGCGCTATCCACTCCTTCTTGATGGTACAATCGGGTTGCAAACCCTTAATTCTTGCACTTAAAAGCACGCCCTGGAAGACATATTAGCAAATGATATATTTGTAGTCCATTTTGCTCTTTCTATTGTTGGCATAACCATCCACCTGTTGAGCCGCTTCAGCAGCAATTTCCGGGCAAAAATATTTATAAATTATACATATAAATAGCGCGCATACATTGCCCGACCATGTGAGCCTGCTCATTCTTTTGAGTTGGAACTAAGAACCTTGAAAGAGCTCTTTCTTAGTCGTCCATGGTAAAAAGTGCCCTCATCTTCAACTTGGATCTATTGTGTGATCATGCTTGTTTTTCGATTGCTGCAAATGAGAGAGAGGTTCCATTGTAATGAGCCGGTACATGTATTTATCAACACTAAGTCTTACATCACACACCGTTTGACCGCGGGTCCTTCCCGACTCTCGTCTTCATCTTGGGCTGCACGTACTTTCCGAACAGTTCCACTCCGCTCACAAACTCGTCAAACTGCAGCATAACACCCTTGACTCCCTCAACGTCGGCAATCTCATCTAACAGGCTCGCCACCTTTGCGTAACTCCCCACCAATGTGCCTCCATTCAGGTTGACCAGATGACCCGCTGAAGCGCCTTCCACAAAACGTGCGACCATACTTTGCGCATCTGCCTGTGTGTCCATCTTCGACTGCGAATGGACCCAGGCTACGGCCTCATCATCGAGGTTATCGCAGTAAAGCTTCCATTTCGCCTCAGCTTCCTCGTCAGTTTCGTCCATAATAAGCATCATAAGAATCTATCATTGAGTGTTAACTGTAATTCTCATGCTGCAACAGCAAACCATCAGCTGATAGAATTCTTACCATGGCCCCGACATCCCTTCCCGTCTCCTGGGAAGCGTCAATCAAACGTTGGTTCGACTCAGCGAATGCCGTCGGAGCGTTGATTCCCTTTCCAAGCGTGAAGTTATAGTCCGCGTAGTCCGCCGCAAATTTAGTGCCGCGGTCGCTCTGTCCAGCGGCGATAATTTTGATGTCCCCGGCTGGCCGAGGCTCCAGGCGGCAGTCGTCCATCTTGAAATACTTGCCGTCTAGGTCGCACTTGCCCTTCTTCCATAGCTCTTTCATAACCCGCACGTATTCCTCGGCGTAATCGTACCGGTAGCCAAAATACTCGTTTCCGGGCCACAAGCCCATCTGGGTGAACTCAGCGCTTTGCCACCCGGTGACCATATTAACTCCGAAGCGGTTCTTGTATTGCTCGGACTCTGCCGTGCTGTTTGCAATGTCGTCTATGGTGACTGCCATCCTAGCACAGATAGCAGGAGGTAGAGCAAGGACAGCAGTCGAAGCGAACAGCTTGATGCGGGAGGTACAGGCTGCGATGCCGGCCATAAGAGTGAAAGACTCCAGGTTGTAGTCCCAGTGTTCTGTCTTGCCGCCAAACCCTCTGAACTTAATCATTGATAAGGCGAAGTCAAAGCCATATGACTCGGCGAGCTTCGCAACTTTGCAGTTCAAAGCGAAGGAGGGTTTATAGTGCGGAGCGGCGGTGGAGATGAGCCATCCGTCGTTTCCCTGTGAAAGCAATCAACATATAATCCAGATACGCCAATTATCTAACTTACAATAGGGAGGAAAACGCCGATATCTAGGGTCTTGGAGGTTGTGGAAGGCATGATGACGGTCAGCGAACTTGAAATTGTTCAAGAAATGAATAGATATGTCTTGGTAGACAGGGAGATTCAGCGTAACGAATTGTTTTGGGTGAGGAATCTGAAAACGGAGTCGCGTACCTTTTAAAAAGCGAATTCGCGAAGCGCCTTTTGAAATCGGCGACCTCTTCATGTTCTCGCTCTTGTATGAAGTAGACACTGTATGCAAGAGAGTGGATCCATCTTTTTCGGCGCGAGATTTTCTTTGACCAATCGTTCCTCGGGCCGAACTTTTAAGGTTAACGCTGATTGCGATATGATAGGCTGGTTCTTATGGGGGGTGGACCCTACAGTGAACCAAGTGTCAGGTCATCATATAGTAGATTAACCTCAGGAGACTACGAGTGTGCGGCTTCGACACACATGCAAGTGACTCAAATGTCTTGTGGCTACTGGGGGAGGGGAGACAGAGAAGGAAGAAGTCTGGTTTCATCAATCTATGAATAAGCAAGGTATTTATACCGTTACTTTTAGCAACAATCTGCTCAGCCTGTCACTAAGCAACATGGAAGATGGGAACATCTAGAAAAAATACTTCATCGGACACGGTGTAGAGCAAGGTGCACAATAAAGCCTTGTCTCACGTAAAGCAAGTATATTCACCCTTCCTTCTCTCGTTGCTTAGTGCCCGAGTCGCTTCGTTTCGTCAGTAATTTATTATTTCGGATTTACTTAGTAACCCAGAAAGTCTAAGGAGAACTGTACATTTTATGTTATCGATATATCTATCTATGCAAGTTAAAGGTCTCACTTAGCAAGCGTGTGCCGATAGTCATAATGCCAGTCTTCCCGCGCAAGGTCTGCCCGGATCTTGTATGAACTCTCCCCCTCTTCGATAACACCCATGTTCAAATCAACCACCAACATACCCTCTGCCCAGTCAAGCCGTGCCAACGGGCCAGCAAACGGAACACACACCTGGGAAAGACCGATAAATGACTGAGCGGGAGGACCCCCGGCATTGGCAAAAATGATCCCTGTCAAAAGGGGTTAGACATAAAAACAGGAACAAGACTAGGTATTAGAGTCAGGGAAGAACTCACCGCATGTATTCTCAAAGCATCTACCAGTCAGGAGCGAGTCGATGAACAGCTTCTCGGCGACCGGGTTAACGACTCTTCCTCCCTCGCTAGTCTCGTTGAGTAGCCAAAACGAGGGAATGATTATCAGCTTTGCCCCCTGGGCGATCAATTCACGGAAAGCTTCAGGGAAGCTCAGATCCCAGCAGATCAAAAGTCCAACCTTGCCCAACGGCGTGTCGAATACCTGGTGAGGCTCGCGTGCGCTACCCGTGAGGTGAGCCCGTTCGATCGGGCCCCAGAGGTTCTTCTTGACATATTTTCCCGCTAGATCTCCCTTGTTGGTGATAAAGTATGCGGCGTTTAGCAGCCTCTCGGACTCGCTGCCCGCGTCGTGAAGTTCAACAAGCGTACCGGGAACGATGTTGATGCTGCATTCTTTTGCTAGCTTGCGGTATTCATCTAGATATGTGCTCCACGAGCCACAGATAGGCTTAAAACTCGGATCCTCGGGCGCCCATCCCGTTAAATGATATTCGGGGAGAACAGCTAGTTGAGCACCCTGGTTGGCTGCAGCCCGAATGAGACTAGTGGCCTTATTGAAGTTGGCTTCCACTCGGAGGGTCTGTATATGAGAACATTTAGTAATAATATCAAGTTCAAGGGCCTTCGGTGTAATCGCCTACCTCCGAATGCATCTGAATCACTGCGACTTTATATACGGGCCCCATATTTTGATGCTGAGATGTTGGAATCGAAGTGGTTGATGTTATTGCTCTACTTCAAGCTAATCGGATAAGCATGAATATATATATAACATGACGTCGGATGCGACATGCAGCAAAACTAATATACAAGAAGATGCGGGGGCTAAATCATCCCTGTTTCGCATCGAGCGAGCCGCTAGCCGACATGTTCGCGCCGAACTTGACATAAGGTTTATCGGGCAAGCCCGTAGGCTTTTGAGAACGACACTAAATGGCCAGTTCTATTAAGCAAAATATTGCATTTGCTTTCGAATTCTGAGTATGGAAGGAACAATGAAGGAAAGAAGGAATCGGTAGGGTCAAACGAGAATTCGAGAATCCAACTGGCGGGTTGAAATGAATGTATAGGAATTCTAAAAAGCTTCATGATAGCCGTCTAGCTTTCTGATTTGACAAGATTTGTCCCATCCGGCCTCAAACCATGGACAAAGAGCCGCGCTTCAACAGGCTGCTGCTCCTTGGGAGACAGGGAGTCACGCGCCGCACCTCCATACCCACCGAAAACCAACTGTGCCTTCAGCTGCCAGTTCTGCGGGATGTCCCAATTCGTTGAAGCTTGCTGGTCGGCCAGAGGATTGTAGTGTTGAATGTTGGCCCCAAGACCCTCTGCCTCCAGCGCTACCCACAAAGCATACTGGTGCATTCCACTGGTGTGTTCGCTCCACTGGGGGAATCGCTCCGCGTAGAGCTCATACTTTGCTTGGAGATCTTCGACGATATCTGCGTCCTCGTAGAATAGGATCTTTTGTGATGTTTATTAGTCATGAGCGGGCTCCATTGGTGATAGGCAGAGTAGGAGAATAGGAGAAGAGGAGCTATAGGAAATAAATATGAAACATGAACCAACCGTGCCATAACTGTTTCGAAATCCAGCGATGCGCTTCTCTGTCTTTGGGAACGCGCTGTCAGGGACGATTGCCTTCAAGCATTCCAGAACAATATTCCAAAACCGAATATGCTCGCCGTGAAGGAGGACGACTAATCGCGTAGACTGCGAGTTAAAGGAAGAGGGAACATCTTGGATGATGGTGTTGACGATCTCCAAGATTCGGGCATCGGAGATTGGGGACGTGTTGTTGAGTTGGTAGATGCTTCGACGGTAGTTGACCGCATTGAGAAAGGTCGAGGGTGCTGCCATTTCCAAGTAAAAATCAGTTCTCCCAGATCGTAAGATGAGTTGCTGAAAGGTTTCCTGGCCCAGCCGTCCCTGGGAGATGGGCGACTTTTATATGTGGGAATCCAGCGAGAATCGGCGCGGGTTTAGTATGGATTCCTTCGCCCGAGATTGAAGCGGGTCCTTGGGTAGGTAGTGTTGACTTAAAGGTACGTAACATATCTATCTCTCAATATGTCGAGTAATAGTGTGCTCCAATCTATTATACTGGTTTACTCGGACTTATGCTTCCTAGAAACTGCACTTATACTATTTATGCCCTATCGAGTTCGTGCCAAAACATGATATAATTAAATCTACAATATAACGAGGGAATGATTCCATGACTATGTCAGCATAATGGGGGTTGGCAGCTCGCCCATGACGTCGCGCCAGTCAACAAACCCTAGCCCACGGCTTGAGGGAGGGAGTCTCCCGTCTGCGTCAAGGTGGCGGTCCGTTCGCTTCCATACCTCTAGGACCAGAGCCCTTGCCCGAGACAAGTTGGCGATCCCCTTTCCTGACGCATTTTGAAACCACTGGAGACACCTGTGTCGCAGCTCGACATCTACGGCCTCACAAGCGGCAACGAGGGCAGGCCATAATGTAATGGCAGGCCTGATTGAGCGGCCCCGAGTGAGGCACTGAATAGTCTCGAGGGAGTCGAATGTCAAAGCGACAAATTTCTGATAATCTTGAAAGGGAGTTTCCAAATTCGCCCATCTCGGCCTGCCTTTGTCTGGATAGTCCGTTTCAGAGCGCCTAAACTGTGGCGAGTCAAAGCAACGCCCGAAGAATAAAATGACGGCGTTATGAAAGGCCCATTGGTGGCTTTCAAGCAGCTCATCCCGAACGGCTGTAGGGATGACCGCATCTTCTCCGAATGACCAGAGCAGTTCCAGTTTAGAATCAGGTACGTAGAAGTTTATCTCATCATTTAACGCGCTCCTTGATAGTGCCTTAGGATCAAGTGTGATATCGTAAAGCTCTGCTCTAACATGTTCGAATTCTTGAACTAGGCGTCCCTCGATGCTGACGCGCGGATCCCATTTAGCAATCTGTCGGTCGGCACGAACGGTTCGATAGAGCAATGATATCGTCCGCAGGCTGATGCCGAAACAGGTATCTAGAACATAATGGGCCGGCATGACGATTCCCTCAGGATGTTGGAATCCCATCGAGGATGTGGAGAAACATGAGATATTATCACTGTCCTCGTCTGGTGAAATGGACTTGATCGTCCTGCACTCATTATACTCAGGTCCACTGGCTAATGCTCCTTGAGTAGTTGTTTCCAAGAGCTCGTAAAACCGGTATATCTGATAAAGCACGCTGGACCGAAGGTTTGACCTCCAGAAACAACTCGACCCGGTCATAGTGAACACGCTGTGTGCAAGACTGAGATGCTCTTGGTAGCTCTTGCTATCAGATGCGAAGCTGTTGCTCGAGACTAATGACAATGTGCAGGCCAGTAAGGCATGTTTCTGGGCCTCTGAGTATTCGACATCACTATCACTCAAGCAATCACCCACCAACTGTGCGGCATCGAGCGCATAGACCACACCCTTCACTAGCAGACTTTGTCGCTCCGAACCACCGAGTTGGGCTCGGTGTAGAGCTGAGACGGCAAGGATGGCGTGACGTAAAGCGAGAGTAGTGCGATCAGGTGATTGTGTAAGGGCCAAAGGCAAATATATTTGGAGCCATGGGTTGCGTGGTGGATCGATAACTGGCATCATGATGTGGCCCACCACCTCGCGGTAATGCCTGATCAGGAGCACATCTTCGCGGTCAACAGGCTCGTCCTGGTTCGACGGCCAGCCAGTAGGTGTCTGTAAGGGAGTCTGGCCATGAGGCAGCTGGTGCCAGAGCACTTCGGCAGAATCACCCTCCGTTTCAGGTGACGACATTCCAGTGCCACTAATGCCACCTGGTGAGGAAAGTATGGACGAATTAATATTCTCATTAGTCTCTACACTGTCAAGTGGGCTTGATGCGATGGAATTACCGCGACTTGGCGCAAAGAAAGTGTCTGCCGATCGGCCAGGCTCACCCCCCTGAGTATCAAGCACGCAGGTGGCATTAGTCGCATGATCAAATAACCGTGATATCGCAGCGTTCGCTGCAGGCGCGGGAATAAATCCATGGCAGACGTGTCGCCGAGAGCGTTCACAATTTGCGCAGGTCGGTCGTCGTCCATCACACTACAAATAGGGTCAGAGAGAGAGACCGAAGCAAATTTAAAGACGCAGACCTTGATCTTTCGTTGGCGGCAGGTGAGACATCCCTATGATAGCGTTAGGTAAGATGACGGGTGAGGAAAGTGGTTTGGGGGAAATTTGTGGGGGAGTGGGGGTTGAAGGAACGCACTGTATACACTCTACCCCCCGCCGTCCTGTCCTGGGCTTCTCAACGGGCTTGCGGGCAGGGAGTTGACTTCTATGACTTCCGATGGGATCAGTCGGCAGACACTGATCAATATCCCAACTGAGAACGCTCGAGGGATCGATATCAGTCTCCATCAATCCAGAAACTATGGGCTGTTGCATGTTCCGAGGATAGCGAACTTGGGGAATTTCTGAGCGAAAGCGACTTGGCCTATCTAGGCCTATATTCGCTTACGTTTCGCCAAAGATAAGCCAGCCCTGCCCTGCCTTGCTGCTCTAGTGATCCGTGATAGGGCATTATCGGGGTTTAATCTTATCTGATGTTCTTTTTCTAACTTCAATGTTCGCTCCGAGATATTAAGGTTCGGACTTGACACCTCAGGTCAAACATCGAAGATTACAGTTCTGTATAATTTATAACATTTGGTATATAGAGTAGACCATCTTCAGCGAGAGGGACTTTAATTAACTCATTTTTTTCATTCCTTACTAAGTGCTCCTGCTTCTCTATATCTAGTGTGCACATCGCCCCTGTATACATTGCATGAACTATATACATATATCAATCATCTGGCACAATGATGACCTCTACGTCGCTTCACCCCCATTCCCAGCTCGCCAAGGAGCTTGTACCCGATAGCCCATGCTCCCTTGTCTGCCCATGGGCTCCTCTCCCATCCAAAAACGAACCCAGGGACAACACATCATGTTCCATTTCTAGCGTTGTGGAATATACAGTGCCAAGTTCTCAGACTGCCCTGGTCTTACAGGGATTACGCCAGCCATACGCCCTAACCCCTGCCCATCCAGTTCCCCTGGTATCGCGCTCCGACGAGCTCGTGATCAAGATTCAAGCTATCGGACTGAACCCGATTGACTGGAAATCAGTGTATGTGCTCATATAGTATTTATCCGTGGCGAAACTAACATCCCAGCAAGTGACTATGGCTTCGGTATCCCTTCTCTCCCCTACATTGCTGGTCGGGATTTTGCCGGTGTGGTTGTCAAAGCACCCCAGGGGTCTGCCTATTTAGGAGGTGACGTGGTAAGCAATAACCCAGCCTGTTTCCGTGATGCATCCGCTTAAGAGCCATACAGGTTCTCTGTGCGTCCACGGACTACCGTGATCAACGAAAGGCTGCATACCAAGAGTACGCCGTCGCCCAAGAACACACTATTTGCAAATTGCCCTCCCATGTCCCTGTCGCACACGGTGCTGCACTAGGGGTTGCGTATGTGGCAGCCACTTTGGCGCTGGGGGTATGTCTGAGCGTTCGGTTGCCGGCCTTGATAGGTAACGATCTATGCGACATCCTGCGAACATTACCACCCGATTCTTTCCCTGCCGATATTCGATCCGAGTGCCTGGAGTCAATCAAAGAGCATGAGAGACCTTGCCCTGGGGATTGGGTCACGATATGGGGTGGGTCATCCACCAGCGCGCTGTTCTTATCCCAGATCGCTAGCCTAGCAGGCTTAAAGGTCATTTTAGTGGTGGATGTGGCGAGACACGGAGCGAGGTTGGCCAACTCTGGCTGTGTCCTTGTTGACTGTCACGATCCCGCTAGAGCTGTCGTAACCATTCGTGGCATTACGCAGGGAAGTCTCCGATTCGGAATCGATACTGTTGGCAAGGAAACTGCAGCACAACTTGTCCAATGCTTAGAACCGAGTCCAGAAAAGAGAGCCCATCTTGTTGCTTTGGCGGCGCTGCCAAAAAAAGAGGTACCAAGCGTTGTTTACCATTCCGTGCCCATGAAGATCTTCCACGAGGTGCCTAAAATTGGGAGAAGCTTGATGCTCTGGTTGGGAATAGCTCTGGAAAAGAGTTTACTATCTCTCCCTGCAATTTCCACAATTCCGGGAGGGTTGGGCGGAATCAATGCAGCCTTGGATCAAATGCGCCAAGGCCAAGTGTCAGGCAGGCGCCTGGTCGTTCCTATTTAAGATCTATATGGATCATCTCGTTTTCTTCTTTTTCCGTTTACATTCTTGTCCTAAATGAATACTACAAATATTCTCTCCTAGCAATAAAGAAATAAGTTTTAGATAACTTCCTTGGTTTCACCATAAAAATACACTTTCTCAACAATGCACATAGCCAGTACAGTTCAGTCCACAATTAAACAGAAGAGTAAGGGCGATCTGATGAACTTGGGTGAGAAACAATCTATACCAGAAATATAGATAGATGAAACTGTGCATCTCAACACACCACATAATCATTTACACAAGATGCTTTTAAGATTACCTGAAACACGATTCCTCACGAGAAAAGAATACCCAATAAATTTATCTTGATGGGGTTGTAGAGCATTTATCGTTTGTCTAAGAGAAATATATATATCTGACGTTAACAACCCCACCTGGGCAAAAAGCTGGAATATCATAATAATCTCTAGAATGCTGCCCTTGTATAAAAGCAAATGAAAGTGATCAAAGTTAACGTGTCAGATTCTACAGAATATCGAATCGTGAACATTAGTTCAAAGGCCTGAAATGGGGGTGGCGGTAAGACCTATCAACGAATCAGAACAGGGTAAATGTCATGTCGCCAATAATGTCATTCCCAGAGTCCGCAACAAATTTGATTGAAAGTACGATTATACGCATATTCATTTCGAATTATTGCTCATCTGTGACATAGAAAATCTGCCCACATGGACCCATCTAATTCCCAGGGCTCAGAACAATCCATATATCCATACGACACAAACCACATCAGTGAACTGCTTAAGCGCAAGCGCCGCACCCGTGGCATCAAGGCATGTTTCCCTTGCCGCCACAGAAAAGTCCGATGCAATGGTAATATGCCATGTTCTAGTTGTGTGCAGCGTAACCACCCGGAGTTATGCTGTATGCTTCCTGTCTCAGGGCATGAGCCGCCACCTTCCGATGGGAAGAGTAGCTCTATGAATAGGGATAGGGATGAAGAAATGCAGGGAACTAGCACTCATAGGTATGATCCAACGCAGTTCGTCTTGTTCTTTCAGTGCTCTTCCTTATTTTGCTTTGCGGTGTCGTCCGAATCCATGAACATAGGACAATATCTCAAATTTTTGAGGGCTTCCAATTTTCCGACTACTGACAACATATTCAACAGTATTTCCGGCGAAGATCAAACAGTATATTCAAATGAAAATAATAAATATCTTCCGGGGATTGATCTCATTCTCAGCCGGCTCGACAAGATGGATAAGCAGATATCTTCACTCAAGGCAGAGCTGCGTCAGACCTGCTCAAATGCTCGGTCGGGCACAATTGCCGAAACCGATTCTGCATCTCCTACAGAATCACCATTTACGAGGAAAGGCTCTACACTTGCCAAATCTCCCGGAAAGCACTTCGTCGAAGACGCTACCGGCGCTACCATCTTCCTAGGCAGCCATTCGGATCCACCTGTCGCTCTGGGATGCCGACGAGCTGGGAGTGACCCAATGCTTAACGATGCAATGCTCTCCGACCAGCTTGTCCCCCGGACGTATCCGTTTACGAACCTGTGGAAGCAAGAGCCCGGAGCCGGTGAAATATGTGAGACTTTACCAGACGAGTCGGATATTATCCGGTATGTATCACGGCTGTTTAATGAATTATTATCATTGGCCTGAGCACATAAATACTGGAGATTGTACTGATTGGTCCCAGATATTGGCAAGTCTATCAAACAAACGTCCACCCGTTTTACCCAGCGCTGGTGACCTACGAGCAATTCAATATCTCGCTATTTGAATTTATGAACAAGCGCACAGGAATGCTGCTGGAAAATGAGGCGATGAGATTAGATGACGTGGATTCCTCGTGGCTTGCACTGCTCTTTGCTGTGCTTGCCTGCGGAGTGCAGTTCTCGAATGACCCCATCAAGGAGCGGGATCTACGCTGCAAGGTGTTCAGTAAGTCTAGTCTGAACCCTCTTTCTTTCATATCTAGATCTAACTGTACCAGTCTGCTCATCTTTCCAATGTCTCCGAGCCTCAAATTTCTTCAACAACACCAACATGAACCAGATCCAAGCCAAGGCGTTAATTGGAAACTGCCTGCGGAACAACCTCGACACTAACAGTGCCTGGATTCTGATGGGTATGTACCCCACTTTAGTAATAGCCAGATGACAGTACTGACTGGTTATAGGATCAACTATACGCCTTGCGCAGAGTATTGGACTACATGAAGAGACAGCCTCAGAAACGCAAAGTTCCACGCTGGAACAATTCCAGCGAAAACGCTTATGGTACGCTCAAAATTTAGCAACCTCGACACAATAACTCCCATTAACCCAGACTCTAGGTGGATGCTGTTATGGCAAGATACTTTCCTCTCCTTCACTTACGACCGCCCACCAAACATAAACAAGCTAAGCAGCAGCATCCCACATGACCCAGGCACAGGTCCAGGATGGTCCTTCGCAGAATGCGTCTGTGCCATATGCCAAGTCCTCCTCGAGCGTGCACGACAAGACAACACTGAAACCATCACCGAAATACTATCCTTCAAAAGCCGGATGGCAGCTATATTCGAAGACGCCGCCCCGTTCCTTTGTGACAAATCCCACTGTCGCAGCCTGCAAGATCATCTCGAGCGTCTAGCCCTGAATATCCACATCTGCTACGCGGTCTGTCGTCTCTGTCGGCTGATTCTGGAGTCTTCATCCAGTGAATCTCATAGTCCGACTGTAGATTTCGATTCCATCAAGATGGAATGTATTGACTGCGCTGCTCAGGCTGTTGAGAGCTTTTTGGATATGCATCGTCTTGCGGCGACCGTGTGTCGCTCCTGGGCGTTTGTTCACAATGCTGTTAGTTGTGCGCTCACGCTTCAGAGCTTGGTTTCTTCGGGTCCGCAGCGTTCGCGTGCTGGAGTGCTTGTTGAGCGGTTGATTGTTGTGTTGGAGCGCGAGGAACAGCAGTCTGTGTGGGAGGATACGGATACTAATATAAGGTACTTTGGTCCATATTCTCGGGCTTTGAAGGCCTTGCGGGAGACTAGTGATGGTCAGTGAGCGGATATCATTGCATACGAGGTGCCCAAGACGGAAGAGCGTGACGAATACGAGGTGAAATACGAGGGAGACTTCTAATTTTATTGATTTATAATAGATCACAATTATTAGCTGAAATGGGGTTGGTTGAATTCTCCATATTTTGTGTGTAAATACCATTCGCTACACTCTCCATATTATAGCATATTTCCTTAGTCCAACTCCCACAATGTCTCAACTCTGCTACTATATAATCGACGTCTTCTCATCCATTGCCTATCAAGGCAATCCCCTCGCAGTGGTAGACACCACATCCACCACTCTCACCTCCACCCAGATGAAACTACTCGCAAGACAATTTAATCTATCGGAAACAACCTTCATCTGTCCCCCAACAAACACAAAAGCTACCTGGCGCCTGCGATCGTTTCTCCCCAACGGGGTAGAAGTTTTCGGAGCTGGTCACAACTCGCTCGGTGCCTGGTGGTGGATTGCAGGTTCGAGGCTTTTGGGAGACATCGCACAAGATACGGAATCCGGTCGGACCTACTTCCAACAACTAGGCAATGAGATCCTACCGGTGGAAGTATCGCGATCAAACCTAGGAGATCTTGTGGTCTCGATGCGCCAGGGACAACCGCAGTTCTTGAATCAACATACCAACCATCAATCCCTTGCGACATCACTTGGGATCGACGCCTGTGATATTGGACTAAGATACTCGGATTTTATACTCGACCGGGCAATGGTGGTTACGACTTCACCTGCTCGTCATCTCTTGGTTCCAGTTCGAAGCCTCAATGTCCTGAAAAGTGTCAGCTTTGCCAACAAAGAAGGGATTTCCAAGGAGCTTGACAGTACTGAAAGCCATAACAGTGGCATGTATGTTTTCGCATCTGCGGAAAATGAGTCCGGGCCAAAGACTCCGAGATTTGAGGCCCGATTTTTCAGTCCGGGGATGTCAATGGAAGACCCAGCTACGGGTTCGGCCGCTGGGCCATTGGCTGCTTACTTGTGGGCGAACAATATCCTAACTTCGATAGAGGGTAGAGTATCTGAAATTGAAGTTGTGCAGGGTGTACAGACTGGGAGGAGATGTCTGATGAATTTGAGCATTGCGCCGAATAAAGAAGATTCGGCTAGCATCACGATTTCCGGAACTGGTGTGCTGGTTGCCAATGGAAATATCATGGTTCCTAGCTCTGAGCTTTCCTTTTCAGAGGGCATTCGTTAGGAGATCAGAAAATATCAGGTGTCAATTCTTTTGTACATAGCATTACCTGCCATCTATGAGTCTAACGAACAAAGATCAATCCAAATCCACGCCAAACCAATCTAAATAATAGTGCTCCAACACTTAAGCAGTAGCAGTTCTTTTCTTAGCCCGAACATAGAAGTTCAACGGCCGAATCAACTGGAATTCAGGATCATACTCGACAGCCTCAAGGCCTTCACGGGTGAACTCATAACGCGAGACAAGTTCCGATAACAAGATCTTCACCTCAAGCAGCGCAAAGTTGAATCCAATACAGCCACGGGGACCCGTAGCGAAAGGAATGTAAGCGCAACGATGCTTGTTCTTAGTTTCTTCGCTAGTCCAGCGATCGGGATCGAAGCGGAAAGGATCGCGCCAGACTTCTGGGTTTGTGTGGATAGAGTACAGGTTGGGGACGATGACGCTGTCAGGGGGTAGACGGTAACCACCGGGCAGGACGACGTCTGTCTTCGTCGTGCGGCCAGGCTGGAAGGAGGCGTTGTGCAGGCGCTGGGTCTCTTTGACGAAGCAGTCGAGGAAGGTCATACTGTGGGCAAACTCGGGCGTCCAGTCAACGGGCTTGTCGGTGTTGGCGACGCCGCGCTCACACAGCTCTTCGTAGAGACGGTCTTGGGCGCCTTCATAGGTGACGAGGCAATAGAGGAGCCACGACATCAGAGCGGAGGTGGTTGTGAAGCCGGCACCAGTGACAATGAGCATGTTTGCGACAATCAGGCCTTCGGGGAATTTTTGGCCGGATTCGTCGACGGTGTTGAGTAGGTAGTCGACTACGCAAGAGGCTTCGACTGCGGCTTGGTTCATGGGCATTCCGTCGATGCCGGAGCCCTTGACTAGGTCGATCTTCTCCTGTAGAAGGGAGTAGATTGTGCGCTGGACAAGCTTAAGACGGGCGGGATCACCGAAGGGAAGGTGGCGGTACCATTCACCTCGGGAGGTGATCTTCTTATTGAGAGACAGCAGACTGGCAATGTTGGTGACGATCGGGTGCAAAGGGGCGTCGACATCGGTGAAGTGTTCGAAGTCGGTGCCCAAGGAGAACTTTCCGATGGTTTGAGATGCTAGCTTCACCATGTACTGGTAGGCGTTCCAGGACTTGCCGCGGGCATCGAGTTCATCAAAGACTGCAAAGGACTTGCGCACACACTCCTGCATCAACGGGGTGTAGTGGCGCACTGCCTTGGGACCCATCGCTGGTGGTAAGAACTTATGAGCCAAGCGCCAGTTCTCAGTCTCGGTATCTCCGATAAAGATTGCTGTGTTGTCCTTGACACCCCAAAGAGGGTGGCTTTCGTTAATCTTCTTGGTCATGTAGACCGATTCAGTCAGGGCGACAGCTGCCACTTCAGGGCTATCAGTCAAGTATGTTGTCTTGCCCATGTTGGTGGTCTTGATGACATGGCCATATTTGCGGAAGAGTCGGTAATGGTTGCCCAGGTGGTCGGGGAAGATCTCATAGAAGCTGCCCACTAGTGGGAGACCCTCGGGGCCTTGGGGGCTCTGGACTGCCTGGCCATCAACACGGAGACCGATGGGTGTAGTTTGTGATGAGGGTGCAGCAAGGATTTCCTCTACTGACAAGAGTTCGGTTTCATTTTCTCCGTGGAAGGTCAAGCCTGATCATGTTAGCACAAGTAATGTATATAGTTACACGGAACACATACCAAGTGGTGCAGCAACATGAAAGACAGCTCCCACAGCACGCTTGACGTCTTCGATCTTCCATTTGGAATCTAGAGTCACAGGCTGTGCTGTTGATACTTCATCTCCGATGAAGTAAAACACGGGATCGGGATTTGGTGCTAGTCCAACAGGCATGATGGATTTTGGTTAATATTTTAGATGAACCATTTGAAAACCACTGTTCTTAAATATCTTCCCTCTCTTATGGCAATATCCGAATTATCCAGTGGAGCATTAGACATCGTCTTCGTTAGTATAGGAGGATCGGCATGTAGATCCACTTCCGAACTTCGGGCGAACTTCGCACGAGAATATCGGATATAGGGATTGACATATTTTATGTTTATATAAATGTTTGGTGGATTTCAAGTTAAGGAATTCAATCACCTCACACAATGTACACCCTCGAAGAAGTTCAAAGGCATAACAAGCCAGACGATGTTTGGATTATTCTACACAACAAAGTCTACGATGTCACCAAATACCTCGAAGACCACCCTGGCGGCAGTGCCATCTTGATTGAGGTCGCTGGCACAGATGCTACTGAGGCATTCGAAGAAACTGGTCACTCTGACGAGGCTCGTGAAGAGTTAGTGCAATATTATGTTGGCGACCTGCCGTCAGAGGTATGTTTTCCAAGCCCTAACTTGAGATGACAATAATCTGACTTGATATAGGAACACGCCGAATCAATCGAGGTCTACCGTCCTACCTTTGAGCAAGTTGCACAAACCGCTGTTGTATCTGTCAAGCCATCACCCAGTCGGATTCGTTCCTTGGCCCTGTCGTTGCTAAAATTTGGCATGACTGGCGCTTTGGGAGGCGTGGCTTTCGCCGGCTACAGCAACGGATGGGGTCAGTTTGCTCCAATCTTAAAGAAGATATCGGAGAGTACCTCGACTGTTCTTTCCAACCACCCCACCTCCTCCCGCCAGTTCTGGTCCGGATTCGGAATCGCCAGTGTCGCCCAGCTGTCTATCACATTCGGGGTGACAATGTGGATTTCATCTAAGCTGGATGTCCAGCAAGAGTTCACTCACCACTTGCCTCACCGCACATCTCGCTCCGACAGACTCATCTTCCGCAAGAAGGTCTCATCAACTGCCAAGAAGGCTCCCACCAAGGCACTCCCCACAAGCCCCCTAGACCCACGCCAGTTTAAGAGCTTCCCTCTCACCCACAAAGAAGTCGTCTCCCCCAACGTATACCGATTCACCTTCGGCCTCCCCAGCACAGATGACATCCTCGGTCTCCCCACAGGCCAGCACATCGCCTTGCGCGCCATCATCAACGGAAAAAGCGTCTCCCGTTCTTACACACCCGTCTCCAACAACACCGACCTGGGTCGCATCGAGCTCCTAGTCAAGGTATACCCCCAAGGTCAGATGACCAAGCACCTCGAGAAAATGAACATCGGTGATAGTATCGAGATCCGTGGCCCAAAGGGTGCAATGCAATATACCACCTCCTACGCGAACCACATCGGTATGATCGCGGGTGGTACCGGTATCACGCCCATGTACCAGCTCATCCGAGCTATCTGCAATGACAAGGCCGATACTACGAAGATGAGCTTATTGTATGCGAATAACACCGAGGAGGACATTTTGCTGCGCAGGGAGCTGGATGACTTTGCTCGTGAGAACCCGCACAAGTTCTCTGTGCAATACGTGCTTTCACAGGCTGGTGAGGATTGGACTGGTCACCGTGGCTTCGTCTCGCAGGATCTGATCCAGAAGTATTTGGCACCTGCCGATGAGGACAATAAGATGTTGCTGTGCGGCCCGCCGCCTATGATTAATGCGATGAAGAAAACTCTCGCTGGTCTGGGGTGGAAGGACCCTAGTGCTGTTTCCAAAGCTACGGATCAGGTCTTCTTGTTCTAAGGATATTGTGATATTATCAGTGGACGGAGTCTAAATTGTACAAAAGTTTGAATTTGATATAGATATAGAGATAGTATACTGGCACTAGTTACATTTCCAATCACCTTTCGATAATGCCTAGCTCTCACTCTTTTGTATGCATTTGGTGTTCTTGGGTGTCTAGCTGCTGGTATTATGGCCTAGCAGGAGCATCGGCATTTCCATATCCAACCTCAATATATTGCGAAGTATATCTTTAATGCCTCAGGTTGGTATTAAAAATGACGTCGTCTTCAACCTTCCAAGGTTCTTTCATTTCTCTGATGCTGGTTTCACTCCCTCCGCGCTTCTAGAAGAATCAACACAGAAATCAACCAATCTTCCGTCAATAATAGTCAATATTAAGTGGAGTTGAACGGCTAACACCGGGCTGAACGGCAGCAGTTTCCGGGTCTTAGCCTAACAAAATGAAGAATCTGAAGAATCTTTGAGCTCAAAGCTTGTCTAGAATAAACGTTCTGCAAGTTCCTCCGAACTGTTTCCGAAACGATTCCGTTGCGACTCCGGGCCGAAAAGCGTTCCTCCACTATCCGAACTCCCTCCGGTGTATGGAGATCCCAAATCTACCTCAACTCTTGAAGTTTATTGGCTTTGACAACACAACAACCCTACCTAGGTACATCCGTGATATCCGCGTCTTTCTGTTCCTGGGACTTCATACCCATAATGCCGGGTTCCGGTGGCGGAGCCCTAACATGTCCAATAGCCTTGGGGTGGTATATTGCGATCCGAATGCATAGCAAGCCTCCTCATGGATATATGGATATCCTTGTGAATTCGGATCCTGGATTACAAAATTTTATATAAGGAAGCCTATATTCCACTGTCGCCCTTGTGATTTTGTCCTCGCTAAGCCAACACCTTTCCCGCCCTTCACGTCATATCTACATACTTTTTATACACCAACACACATCTACAACGCCACCTCCCCTCATACTCCTACCTACCTCCAATATGGGTGTTAAGCCCAGAACCGACCGCCCGGTTGCAATTATCGGCGCCGGCGTCCTAGGCCGCCGCATCGGTTGTGTCTTCATCGCTGCTGGCTATCATGTCCATATGCGGGATCCCTCGCCGGTGGCTCTCCGTGACGCGGCGGAGTTCATCGATCACCACAAAGCCGAGTTCTCTTTAATGCCACGCATCCACAAGGCACGCGAAGAAGATAGCGAGGGAAGTGCGAGCGACCCCAAAGTCGAGACCTCCATTTCCCAGGTTGACCTCGAGTCGTCTACTTCCGCACCCTACGGAATCTGCAAGACATTCACTGAGCTCGAGTCCGCTGTTTCCAATGCTTGGTTAGTTATCGAGGCTGTCCCTGAGGTGCTGCAGTTGAAAATTGATACTTTGGCGGACTTGGATAAGTACGCTCCGGCGGATTGTTACATCGGCTCCAACAGCTCCTCTTTCAAGTCAAGTTTGATGCTCGCTAAGGTCACTCCCAAGCGTCAAGAGAAAGTCTTCAATATTCACTTCGCTATGCCTCCTGCTATCCGCATGGTCGAGCTGATGACCAGTGGCAAGACCGAACCCGAGATTTTCCCCTACTTGGAGACCGTCTTGGGTGAGTGTGGCATGCTGCCAGTGACAGCTCGCCGTGAATCGACCGGGTATGTATTCATCTTCCAAAAGCCAAACCATATATAGGACAGCAGACTGACCCAAGAAAACATATAGATTCGTCTTCAACCGCATGTGGGCAGCAATCAAGCGCGAAATCATGTGCATCCTCTCCGAAGGCGTCAGCGACCCTAGCGAAATTGACCTGCTCTGGGAACACATGTTCAGGAACGGCCCTCTCCCCTGCCAACTGATGGACCAAGTCGGCCTCGACACTGTCGCCTTCATCGAAGACAACTACATCCAAGAGAGGGGTCTCCCCTCCGCCCCGACTGTCGATTGGCTGCGCAAGGAATATATCGAGCAAGGACGCCTCGGCAAGAAGAGTGAAAAGGGCGGCCTCTACCCCCCGCTCGCGAAATCTTCTTCGGCAGAAGCAACCCCCGCCAACCCGCACAGCGCCGCAAAAGACATTTATCTGCTAGACGTCGGCCTCGGCGGAAACGCCAAGGACGTTTCACAGGTGCACTCGAACGGCAAGATCCTGCGCCTCAACCTTGCAACCCAGAAACTCACCCCTGTTGTGGTCGGCCAGAACCTGCCCGACGGTATTGACGTGTCACTGGCCACGCAGCGCGTCTTCTGGTCGAATATGGGCCGCAGCACGGCGGGCTGTGACGGCTCGGTCTGGTCGGCTGATTTGGAAGGCGGCGATGTCACCTGCCTTATCCCCGTTGGACAAGTACACACGCCCAAGCAGCTCGCTGTGGTCGAATCACGGAAGCAGATTTACTTCTGTGACCGCGAGGGTATAAGCGTGCACCGCTGTGATTATGACGGTAGTAACCACGTTATCCTGGTGCAGCGGCAGGTGGTGCCTGGCTCGAGTCTGTTGGAACAGATGACGCTTTGGTGTGTGGGTGTTGCTGTCGATGCTGAGCGCGGTCTCTTGTATTGGACCCAAAAGGGGCCTTGCAAGGCTGGTCTTGGTCAGATTTTCTGCGCAGGCTTGGATATTCCTGCCGGTGAGACTGCTGAGAATAGGACTGATATCCGGCGTCTGTGGAACAATCTTCCTGAGCCTATTGATATTGAGTTGGATAACGAGAGTCAGACTCTGTACTGGACGGATCGTGGCGAGCACCCATTCGGCTGCACGCTGAATCGTGCGTACGTTGGCGGTGAAGAGATGGATATGGAGAAGGTTATTTTGGCGCGTCACTTCCACGAGCCTATCGGCTTGAAGTTGGATAAGGCGAATAACATCGTGTATGTGGCTGACCTGGGTGGTAGCTTGTACTCGGTGTCATTGGAGGATGGAGTTAAGACTGAGCTTGCGCGCAATGATGCTTGTTACACTGGTTTGACTCTTGTTTAGAGAGATATATATAAGGATATTTGAAGATTTGATCTGCGGACCTAGACCTCAACAATTTAGAGATATCATGTATCTGCATACATAGGCAATCTAGAGAGAGAAAAAGAGAAGAAAGTCGGGGGGGGGGGGGGGGGCTCCAGCACTCGCACCTTCCCAGAATGTCTCTTTCCTAGTTCTGACTTTATGGATATAAACATGGAACACCTTCTTGATCCCCAAAGTTATCCATCCAAGGTTAAGTCCACTTCGATGCCGGTTGTGCCTTCCCCACAGCCATCTACTCTCTGGACAAAAGAAACTGCATTTCGGCCTAACCCCTGTTTCAGCAATCTCCCACGAAACATGGGGTGAAAACAAAGCGGGTGAAACGAAGCTAAGAGAGTCAGAAATAGCACGTTGTATTCAAATATATGTAACCATAAAGTGGCTTTCGAAGCTTGTTATGACGATGTGGCTTAAATAAATATACTACACTACAGTCTTATCTGCATCTACTTCATGCATATATGCACAATTGAAACAGACTAAAGCAATACAACATAAAACATAATGTCACCCTTTCTCTACCCCTCGATTCCAATGCACGGGCAAGGACTGCCGATCCCACGCGTTGATCGCGTCTTTCCCATCACCTCCGTACATCTACACCCTCAATCCCCAAATAGGTAGCAACACCAAAAATGCATCTTCAAACCCTCCTCCCCATCCTCTCCGCCTTAGGAACAACAGCCGCCATTGCCATCAAACCCCCAACCCATCTCTGGGCAACCCACTACAATGGCAATGTCTACACCCTAACTCTGAAAGACAATGATCTCTCTGTATCGCAAACCCTCAACACCTGCGGTGACATGCCAAGCTGGCTAACCCTAGACGCGCACACACGCACCGTCTATTGCTCTGACGAGACTGGTACTGCCGATCCTTCCACCCACGGCTCACTGACGGCCCTGCATGTAAAGCCAGACGGCACGCTGCGCGCGAAGGCGCTGTCGCGAAGGCTGTCGGTGGCGGCGTGAATAGTGTTATCTATGAGGCGGGTGCAGGGAAGAAGTTCATTGCGATTGCGCATTAGTAAGTTTTTGTTTTACTTTTTCTTTCTTACCTTCCCGGGGTCTTCGTCTTGCCTTGCATTGGGTATAGGTGTGATAATGAGAATGTGTATTAACAATCCAACAGCGGAGGCTCAGCCATCTCAACCTTTGCCCTACCAATCAAACAAAACCAACCAACCCTGCAAGCCTTCCATTTCAACTTGACCAGGCCGGGCAAAGTGGCCCAACAGGACTCGTCGCACCCACACGAAGTCTTCCTCGACCCGACCGGCTCATTCATCGTCAGTCCGGACTTAGGCGCGGATCTGCTGCGCGTGTACGCGATCGAGGATGGCCGGTCGGGAAAGCTGTCAGAGTGTCCGAGCGTGAACGTTACCTTTGGTAGCGGACCGCGACACGGCGTGTTCTGGACAGATGGCAGCGACCGGTCGGCCGGAGCTGGGTCGACCCATTCGCAAAAGACAGAGGCTGTTGGCGAGACGATGATGTATCTTGCTAACGAGATCGGAGGTACGATGATGGTGTTTGATGTTTCGTATCCGAGATCTGGGTGTTTGTCTTTTGAGAAGACGCAGACGATGGTGCCATATCCTGGGGGTGTTATGCCTGAAGGTGCGACGCCCGCTGGGATTAGCAGGATTGGGGACGAATTTTATGTTTCGATTCGAAGTGATCAGGGGTTCGCGCCCAATGATTCGATGGTTGTGCTTGATCGGTCGCCGGAGGATGGGTCGCTTGAGTTGCGCGACTCGTCTTCTGCGCTTGGGAAAGTGCCGCGGACTTTTGTGATCAATCGGGCTGGGGATTTGGTTGCGATTGGGAATCAGGCTTCTGCGACAGTTGCAATTGTGCGTCGGGATCCGAAGACGGGGAATCTGGGCGAGGAGGTTGCTACAGTACATGTTGGTGAGCCTGGGAAGGTTGGGACTGCGGAGGGTCTCAGCAGTGTCATCTGGGATGAGTAGATATTTGCAGTTATATAAATCAATTGCATGCTGTGACGGCCACAGCTCTCTTCTATAAACAGTGTAGCAGAATGAATCATTGCAGTACAAGTTCGCATCACATGAAAGACTTGAAAAAAGCATCAAAAGCATATACCTCATGACCAAAAGATATGTCCACCTAAACCCCAGAATGCGAAACGAAAGAAAATGTAGACCTGTGAATGTTGAAGACCAGCTTCTCCGGGTTTTGCTCTCGGAAACCTGCACCGAAAAGACCTGGCCTGATAATAACAACTCCTGCAACATCGTCTCGATGATGAATCCTGCCAGATCGTGGTGGAAAAAAAAAAAAAAACCCCCAAAACCGATCGAATGATGAAGAATAAATAACAATATAAAAATGAACGTGTATCAAACATCAATCGTAAAATGCGTAAAGCCAAAAGTTTAGGCTGTCTTATTGAAGTCGTTCACTTGATGTCGATTTGGAATGCCTTCCATTTGCCTCCCACCGTTCGACATCGTGGACACCCACGAGGACCAGGGTAACTTGTCGGTCCTTGTGACGGGGCATTGTTTAATAGCCCATTCCCTGGAGTTCGGAATGAAGCGGGCGGACTTGAAATGAACATGCCCACACAGTCGCGGCAGACTCCACAGATGCACTCCGTACAGGCATAGCACTCATTTAGTGCCGAGGGTCGTTTGCAATTAGCGCAAAACACCTGAACCTCTTTGTTGCGAAAAGACGCCGGAGTAGGATTTGAGAATCTGTGTTGTTGGCGCTGGGACATGGACGGGATAAGATTCATAACTGGGCTGGAATCGGAGTTTACAGACGGCGCGATCCCCGAAACCGACGAGGCAAAGTTTCTACCGGAGGCTGAAGACATGGAATCGAGCGATGATTCAATAGATGGGAATGGTTCCAGGTCGTTCTCACGGCTGCGGTTGTTCTCGTATGGTGGTGGGGTCAATGATTTGTGCAAAGGCGAGGCGGCATATGACTGCGGTGGGAAGGGCCTATGTGAAGAGATAGGAGGCAGTCCTGCAGACTGGAAAGCGGGTGGTAGCGACGACCGATTTTTCACTCCAGAGGGAGCAGACGTCACGTTGGAAAGCAGTGGGGCAATCGTTGGAGATCGACCAGCCTGCGTTTGGTGCATCAGCGCCGGGGGAAAAAAAAGGTCCAAAATTGACTTCAAACTCACCTCTGAATATTGCTCATCGTCTACTTCGGTTGCCGACGTTGCGGCTTCAATCAAATCCTCCCAGCGCTTGCCTTGCGCCCAGGCCGCGGTTTGCGGCTCTGCTGAAAGGGCTTTGCGGTCAGTGAGACTTGGTCGCCGCCCGAATTCCTTTGACTTGGGACGATCCTGCTTGGGCTTCCGGGCAGATTGGGTAATGGAAGATTTGCGTGGGCGGCAAAATTTGTCTCTCCGCTGGATTGGCGGTAATGTGGATGAGCGACCGGGTGGGGAGTGATTGAGGATGGACGGAAGAAGCTCGCGGGGACGAGGGGTGAACGGCGGAAGAGATTCCTGCTTGAAATGGTCGCGGAGTGGGGGAAGTTCAATAGCTCCACGCATGCGAGGATGACTCAAGTCGGTATCCGAATGGGTATCCTGGGGAAATGCGGGTCAGTGCCACCGTGGAGAGACTCGGGCTTCGAAGCCCACAACAGCCTGGAGCGACAAACCATGTCTGTATCCCAGTCCGAGGCCAGTCGATGGTGGTGCAGTTGTGCCAAAGCAACCGCCGCAGTGGCCGCAGCTGGGTGGGGTTCATCCAGAGCTCGAGGGGTAGCCGGGGAGCCGTCAGCGACATAGACGTCCCTTTCCGGCGCCACATCTGTGGGTAGCCGTCAGTATCCCAGTGGCGAGAAAGCAAGTCAAGAAAAGTAAAAAAAACTGACCATGGGGTCGCCGAGGTTGAGCAGGTTCCGGGGGTGACAGCTGCACCCGTTGCTCGAGCGGGGTGTTCACCATCAACAGGAAGCTCTCCTCGGTAGCCGGGAGCTTCGGGATGTAGTGGTTCGGATGCGCACGTCGGATGTGCTCCTGCATGGAGCGATAGCGTTTCTCCTATAGCACCAACCGAATTAGTTCGAGTTGAACTCAAGAGTTGCACGGGGGTTATATAGCTTTAAGCTGTCCAAGGTGATAGGTGGGGCTCGGGGCAAATACTCACACCCAGGCATCTTTTGCGACAATTGGAACTATCGTTGTTCTTCAAGGGACAGACCACCTCATTATTGGCATCGGTTACCGAGAAAGAGCTGGTCAGTGAGCTTCGAGGAGGCATGGTGCATATGGTCATCCGAGATCCCGGGAGTTGAGATAAAAAAAGGAGGGGCGAATAAAAAGATCAGCCAAGCACAGACAGGGTTTATGTGAACAATAGGCAATGCAGTTCAACATGCTCTGAAGTAAAAGAGAAGTGGGAAGCGAAAAAGGCAGAGGGAAAAAAAGGAAAAGGAAGAGGGCGGCTCATACATTCAGAGTACTTCGAGGCCCCCGTGTGGGTGAAAGTCATTGGGGGGTATTACGGGTAATTACGCAGTTCGCCTTATTCTATTTTTTGCTCCATACTTCTTTTTTTTTTTGTATATATATATTTCAATTCTAAATTCCATATCTGCAAGTAATAGTAATTCTAGTCAGGAACAGCTTTTCTTTCTATGCCTTTAGTTACTGAGCCTCGCATACGTGACTATCGTCCCTATCGAGTATCGATAACCAAAAAGAGGGGCGTGCAGCTCTGAGCTTCCCTTGTAAAAAGAAATACCCATGGAACGTTCATTAAAAATGAAATTACACAAGGGAGAGAAAAAAAAAAAAAAAAAGGGAAAAAATTGAAACTGTACGGTATTAGGTATTTAAATACAGCCGAATTAGCACGGCTTTTCGGAAACCCCGGTGGAACACCGAGCTCTAGCCATTTTTATCTGTGCGTTTTCATATTCTTTTATCTGATATCTGAGATGGATAATTTTACTCGGACTATTTAAAAAGATATGTACTATAAATGCAGAAAATCTAATTTGCAGCGTTACCGGGAAAAAGGAAAGGAAAAAAACGGTCACGATAAAGGCGCTATCAGCGGCCCCTCTTGAAGCTCTCCCCAGCTCCTGAGCTTCATTCCAGAAGGGAGGGAAGCTCCGGGTGGCGAACTAGCGCCACGATACAGTGTAATATTACGTATTCGAGGTTTCCACGGTTTTATTATTTTACATATGTATTTTCTAATTTTGTTCTGAGCATACAATAGATACAGTAATGCAAAGTATCTGGTGTCTGTCAAGTGTATGCCCTGATGATATACTTCTAAACCTATTCACATTGAATACATTAACCCCAGCTCCGATCTCCTCCGTTTACCCTTCTTATCGAATTACCTAAATACCCCTAATACGCTGTATAACGAACTGCCGATGAAGAGCATCCCAAAGCAGCCTGATTGGCCCCCTAATCTCCACCTGGGGGCACCGAGTCACCAATTACCTCCATCCTCATTGGTACAATTCAGACGCCATCCCGGTTCTGGGTGGCCGTGCAGGGGGGATCACTAGAAAAGTCTGAGATTTCAAGTTCGAGGTTTTATGCTCAGAGTACGGAGTACAAATATCTAATAATGCTAATATCTGATAATATATTGATATATATAAAATACATCTAAGCTGTTACCAGAATAATGTACACCATCTATAAATGTCAAGCATGTCACGCTCCACTTAATATGAGTGGAGAGCTTGCGAGTCGAGACTTTCTTGTTCTACATTGTATCTTATCTGCCTTGGATTTCACGTCAGGTGCTTTCATGCCTATAATTATACTCACTCCATACTTGTATCCGATCTTTCGGATCTAATGCACGTCTATGGCCATTGTACCTCGTAATCCTATCTACATCCTTGTTCACACCGCATTGATCCCTGCAGAGCAGCATACCAAATGCGCCTTAGCCATGCAGGGTCCGACAATCATCATGGCAAGTAAGTCTTTCGCCACTGTCGAGGGGGTGAGGGCGGACTATAATTGTACAGTACATCCCGTTCATGTCCCATCTTGTAGCATTATCCGAAACCCTTGCTGCGGGGCTTACCTTTCAAGGGATTCAACATCAACAAAGTCGCTCAACCGCAGAAATGCAGAAATGCAGAGACCGGATTCGACAAATTGTGCCCAATAACTGATTGAAAAGCGTAGCTCTCCAGCCAATATCGCTCAATCCCATACATATCCAAGCATAGTCACATCTCACCCCGACCGTAAAGAAAACCCTCAATCAATCCAGCGGAGGCGTAATCATACCAGTACCGCCACCACACCCAATCAAATCTCCATCCTCCCCAGCAAAGAACAATAAAACCGCCTCAGCAGCAGCCTTGGCATCATCATCATCATCCTCTAACCCAGGAACACGCGAGCGATAAATCAGCTCCAGATACTCTGCCACAACCGCCGACGACCAACCTGCACGACGCCCAAACTCCTGCACAAGCTCCCCGTTGACAAAGGTATCAAATTCAAAGTGACCCTGGTACGTCAGGACCCGACCAGGGTTATAAAGACCCTGGATAGCGCACTGCGCACTACTCCCGATACTAGACCATGGTGCCGGCAGCGAGACCCCCGCTTCGCCCGCAGCAGCTTGAGCATCGGGCGTCGGGACCACCGCATCACCGTGGATCAGCTGTATGCGAAATGGATTCTGAGCTGTGGCGCGCGCAAGAGGCGAGAAGCGCGCGGTGAAGGAGGGCTCGAGGGTGATGGGCTGAATGCCCATTTCGTACCCGGCAGGGGAGTGCGCAACATGGAATGCTGATTTTGGTGGGTGGTTTGGGTTTGCGTTGGTGCTGAGGAGAGCTTGGGCGATCATCTGGTGCCCGAAACAGGAGCCGAAGAGCTTTACGTTTGGGTAGTGTGTGTGCACTGTTTGGATGTAGGATTGCATTGCGTGGATCCAGGGCTGGTCTTCGTATGCTGAGGATGCTGAGCCCGTGATTAGGATCGCGT